ACACACATACACATAAAATAAAAATAATAAAAATTTTTAAAAAAGAAAATAAATAGCTAAAATGCTTAATTTTAGCTGAGCATGATAGAGCACATACAGCTAGTCTAGGCTATGAGATCCTGTCTTAAAACAGCAAAAACAAAAGAACCAATTGCTTTTGTGAAAAAGACTTCATGTCTGCCTAGAGATGCCAAGGGTCGGGTGGGGACACGGATGCTGGAATAGAATGGGGAGAGCATGTGGCTATGGGATTCTGAGCTGGCTTTGTAGACAGAACCAGGAGTCCTCTCCTTGCAGAGAGGGGTGGGGAGGAGGGGGATGCTGAAGACTTGTCTGGAGTTGAGCATTTCAAAACCCTGAGTGGGTAAGTTTAATACCCACAGTGTCAGGGCTGGGCTCAGCTGGAGGTTGCTTTGCTAGTGGCTCACTTGGGCTCTTGTCATAGTGGTAATCAATTTGTCTGTGTCTGTCGGTTTGTGACTCGCTCTCCTCTAGGGACCAGGAGCTCTCAAAGATCTGCCCTACTCAGGGCCTGCCATCAGGAATGGTCCAGGAGTTTGATATTTGGAAAGGAATCTGGTCCTAGCCTTCCCCTCCACCTGGTGACCCCTAGAGACCTAGGCCATGGGAGATGAGAGTCTCAGTCAAGGCCCCCATCTGTGGCTCCTGTGGTGAGCTTCTGTGGCCAGGATAAGGCAAGGGGCTAGGGCATCCCTGGTTGAAGTTAGGGCCCTAGACTAAATTCTAGCAAGAATAGCCAGTAGATCAACAAGGGAACAAAATTGAGCTGCAGTCCAGAGCAATAAGCCCAGGGAAGAGACTGAAACCATGGGGTACTATATGAGACCCACAGTGATGACAGGAGTGCAGGGTCTTCTCTGAAGAGCCTCAGTGGACGTGAAGGCAGGTCCAATATCCCCAGGGCTCGTCTTGACTTTAGATCTTCTAGGTTGATTCAGGAGGGCACTGACATAGGGGTGTCAGACACAGGGTAGGGCAGGACGGGGCCAGGGCCTTAGCCCTCCTCCACTCCTCGGCTTGCTGGCTTCAGCTTCTCCAGGGTTCTGGTCACAGTAGACAGGCCACTGCGGGCCCCTGGGGGAGACAGTAAGATGGAGCTGTCGGAGTACATTGAGCTAGCTGGTTGGGTCTGAGGAGCCCAAAAAGAGTAAGATCAGAGTTTACAAGGACTGTAGGGCAGAGCTGAGTTAAAAGGGGAGATGGGGAGTCCATGGGCTCAAGTGAAGTGTGAGAAAAGCAGAAATCAGGAGCTTCTGTTTGGCTTGAGTTGCTGCTTAGCTGGGTGATATTGGGTGTTTCATGTAATCTCTGTGTGCCTCAGTTACCTACAGTGAAGTTCATTATAGCATCTCCCTTACATTAAAGCTGTGAGAATCAAGTTTTAACACATGTAAATTGCCCAGGACTGCATCTGGAATGGGCCCTTCTGATAAGTACTGACTGTCCTTCCCTGTTGGCAGCAGAGACTGCAGGCTGGGCTGCTGTGGAGCCCCTCCTGCCCTGGAATTTTCCAGTGTCAGGGAAGGATCCAGAGGGAGAAGATACCCAGTTTCAGATATCATCTCTGACAACCAGACTCCAGCATGAGAGGAGAGTGGAGTGGGAAGGTAACTAGGGCATGAAGCCTAAGGAAGAGGAAAGGAAGGGAGGGGCCCTTTGTCCCAGGATCCAAGCATAGGGAAACCCTGAGGACAAACAAGATTAACTCAGCTCAGAGAGAGAAGGCTTGAATATACAAAAGTATGACCTAACCCACTTCTTCCCTGGGCTGGGGAAGCCCCCCAACTCCATTCTCCTCAAGGGTCCAACCTGGCCCTACAGGGCTGCTCAGCTAGAGAGGGGAGAAGAAAGAATTTCAGGAGCTTACCTTCTTTATTATCGTTGGTGCTAGATCTTCCCTCCCCATGGTCTGGCCCTGGGTTGGGGTGGATTCTCAGGCTTCCTGCAGGATAAGAGTGCCCCAAGTCCCCATTTTCAGAGTCATTCCCAAATCAAGCCCAGTTTGAGAAAGGAAGTCCTTCCTGCTGTCTGATGTCCATCCATGCTGTTTCTGCTCCACTGTATTTCCTCTGTCTTTCGTATGGTCTGGGCTGATTTTTGGAGGGGCAGAAAAATGAGTGCTTGAAGGAGGTGGCAGGTATTTAAGGAGGGAAGTAAGGATATGTAAAAATCCATAGGATCATGGGTGTTGGGAATCTGAATGTAGGTTGCTGGGGTGAGGTTGCAACTATTCAGAGGTCATGGAGTCTAAAGGGGAGGTAGAGGGTCTTTATGGAACTAAGGGATGAGAGAGCATCATCTGGAGATCTTGGAAGCTTTAGGAAATGAACAGTAGACTCCTGTGGTTTGGCCCCCTTTGCTCAGACAGCTGGCTGCTACTCTGTAGCCATGGTGATGCCTGCATACCACACACACACACAGAGAGAGAGAGAGAGAGAGAGAGAGAGAGAGAGAGAGAAAGAGAAACTCCAACACACAGCCAGGAGCACTCTGACATGTGGGCACCGCACAGTCATTCACAGGCTTACACACGAACAGTCTTGCAGTCCTTGGCAGAGGGTCTGCTGGGGGTGGAAAAAGGCTCACCCATCTCAGGCAGGATGTGGTCTAGGTTGAGCTGAGCCTTCAGGAAGGGGTAGGCAAAGATGAGGAGCCCTGAGGAGAGACACAAAGGGTGTTGTGAGGAGGGAGGCCTGGTTAGTGTGAGGTGCAGGAGGCTGGGGGTGGGCTGCTTATGAGGGTAATGTGGATGCGCATGGGAAGGACTGAGTGTGTAAATGAGAGCCGTGTGTGGTGTGTGTGTGTGTGTGTGTGTGTGTGTGTGTGTGTGTGTAGCTCCCAACACTCAACCCTGGTTTGGAAAGTGCCTATCTGGGGAAGGGGCTACAGACTGTACAGGCCACAGGCTTGCAGGCTGTTGGCTCCACATAGCTCAGGTAAAGAGAGGGTTGGTTAGCTTTCTTCTTATTTGGCTGGAACTGGGCCCAGCTGACACAAACACTACAGATCCTCTCTTCCACTCCTCTCCTCTCCTTGGCCCTCCCCTTCCCCAAGGCCACTAAGGTGGCCTCCTGAGCACCTCTGTTGCTCCTCCGTACCCAGACCAGGTGACCAGGAAGCCACAGAGTGGGGTCCTGCCCTCCCACTCCCACTTCCTCCCAAATGGAGTGTTTCTGGCACTCAGTGTTTGAAGATATGCCAAAAGCCCCTAGCCTGGGGCTCCAGGTTCTGCTTTTGGCCTGGGATAGTGGAGTGGGTGAGAGATGGCATTCAGCATCACGGTGGGAATGTTAGTGGGCCTGGCCCAGGCAGACAGATAGAGCTGCTGCAGAGACAATGGAAAGAGGAAGGTCTTTCATCTGACCTGTATTGTTTTGTGGGCCTCTTTCAACCCACCCAACCAGGCTGGCAAATCCTGCCACAAACACAAGATCCCTCTAGGTAACCAGAAAGGTGTGGAACAATCAGTCCCATCCTCCCCATCTCAACATCTACAGAAGCCCTAGCCCAGCCCCCTTCCTGGATTCTGAAGCTGCCCTGTTCACAACTCTGGCTGTCACACTTTCCCACCAATTCCTACTGACTAGCCCTGCCCTTCATCTCTCATTGACCTCACCAGACCCCTGCTTCCAACCAAAATCTCCTCCCCCTACCCCAATCCAGAGACTGCTCACCAAGCCCGGCAGCGCCAAGAAAGATACCACCCACAGCAGCCGCGGCCTTGGACACAGATACACCGATGATGATGCTGCCGGCCACCAGGCCGAGGGCCACACAGGCCAGCTGCAGGCAGTGGAAGTCTCTGGTGCTGATGGGGATGTCCATGCAGGCCTAACCAGGGTGCTGCCTCCAGGGCTCCTGGGGGTCTCAGTCTTCTTGGATGTCCCCTTGTTTGGAGTTCCACATCCACGATGGAAGGAAGCCTCTGAGCTGTAAGACTCTGGGTTGGTAACTCTGGGATTTATCTGTGACCCTATCCCACAGTTCTCCTAGGAGCCCTCAGCCTCAGATTGGCCTCTGCACTCTAGCTTACTCCTCCCCTGATGGCCTCTGGCTCTGGCGGCCACTCTTGGTACTCCTGCCTGGCCACATTTCCGCTTTGGATACCAAAGTTCTAGGGAGCCAGGCCTGCCCCATGGCACCCTCTTCTGCCAGATACCACCAGGGACCTGAGGGAGTTTGGCCTAAACTCTCCTGCCCAGGACATCCAGCCCTAGTTTCCTGGCCTCTGCTCAGTTGCCTCTGAGCCTGAGCCTATTAAAGTTTAAAGCAATGCAAGGAGGGCTGCAGGGCTGGTCTATGGTACATAGGTTCCTCCAAGGTGCAGACAACAGGCAGGTGCTGAGTTATTCATGAGGGTGTAATGTGAGCTTCTGCCTGGGTCCCCAAGGCCCATTGGGCAGCCAGCCCAGGTTCCACTGTTGGTTCCTGAGCAGGAAGATTGGGTCAGTGGCTTCATAAGGGGCTCAGGGGGCAGGGATATGAGAAGACTCCCTGGTCATACGCTCAAGGCTCACTCTGCTGGCCTGTGTCCCTTGACCTGGAGGTGTACCTTGGGGCCTCTGCTTGGAGACCTAGAGACAAGGCATAGGAGACAGGAACAGAGAAAGAAGGGGAATAGTCTCCTACTCTTTTCCCTGTCCCTCTCCTACCTTTCTCCCATCCTGAAAACCTCTGGCTTCCAGGTAGGGCTGAGGGCAGTTAGTAGAAGGCTTGATCTTAAGGGGCCCATTTACCTCATGGCAGGCATTGTGCCACCCCATTTTAGCTGCTAGAAGGGTAAACAGCTAAGCCCTGTGGGGTTAGGAAGGGAGCTGATAGAGAAGAATAAGGGTAGGGTGGGGCAGAGGAACTGTGGGGCCGGGTGTCAGGAGGACAGGAACTAACCTGGAACATGGTGGGGACCTTCTGACCCCTACCCACCCTGACTAACCTGGCCAACCTGCTTATAGGATCTACCAAACTGGGCCTGAGCAGTGGGCAACTCAGCCAAACCCAGATCTCTTTCCCTTCTCCCTAGATCCTACCTCTAACCTTCATAATTGTACTTCTTGGCCCTGTATGAATCAGGATCTCCTAGTCTTAAAATATGGTCCTCTCTACCAGCCTCAGTCTCCTGCCTCCATTGCTACTCCCTCCTCAAGTCCCCAGTCTCTTGTCCTGCCTCCCTGCTAAGCATCTGCCCAGCCTCTGTCTGGAAAACCTCTACATGTCCCTCAAGTTCTGCATGGACAGCCCTGCCTGTGCAGCCTTCCTGACTATGTCTGGGCTAGCGGGCTGTCCGCTGGCTCTCTGTTGCCTCACAGGAAGGGCTGCCTCTTCATCTTTGTTCTGCCTCTTCTGGTGATAGTGAACCCTTGAAAACGGGCTCAGGGAGTGAACTCTGTAGAATGCCATGGCCAGAGGTCCTGGGGGAAGCTTTAGGTTATAGAACGGAGTTCTGGGAGAGGGCTTGGACCTGCATCACCACCTTGAGTCAGCAGGGAAGATGTCTATGGACACAAAGTTACCTCCATCTCTACCATCAGTTTCCCTTGGTGTAGAGTAGGGGCTTAACAGGTCACCTGAGAGGAGCTTCGGCTATGGGAAGGGCCTGCCAGGAAGGCAAAGAGGAGGGACCACAGTGCACAGATGGCCACACAAAGAGGAAGTCCCTGGAGTCAGGCCTTCCCACCACCATCTTCACATCTGCAGCATGAGGCTTAAGTTTTCCTCTAATTGGGCATTAATTTATAGCCCATGTTTCTGTCATTTGTAAATGATCCTTCAGATTTAGTTTTAGAAGAAACAGCCAACATAAATGGCCATAGAGCGTGTTCCTTTGGGATTCTGAACACCTTTCACAATGCCCTGCCTCCCACTCTCCTTAAGTGTTTGGTTCACTGTAGTTAGACAGGGCCCAGACTGGCTCTTTTCAAGGCCAGCTGGGGCTTGGCTCCCCTAACCCCTCCACCATGACTTGGGCACTGGGGCCAGTCACCTCAGGCCAGAGGCAGCGATGCCTGTGCATTGAGAATTCCAGATTCCAGAATATTCTGATTTCTAAAAGCTAAAGACCAATGTCCATTTAGAGGTTTAGTTTGACACTAAATCCCTCAGGGTACAGGAAGAGTCAAGGGAAGGAGTGTGAAGGAGAGACACATGAAGTTATTATCAGTCACAAGATCATGGAACTACAAAGTCATCTCAGGTCTATCATGGAAGAGATGGAAAAACAGACATTGGGAAGGTGGAAGAATTGCCCTGTAATCCTCGATGGAACCTATGAGCCCAAGTACCTGCTCAGCTGGAAAGTCCTCTACATGTCTCTCTCCTGATTTCTATGTTGTCTTTGTTTTTGAGACAGAGTCTCATGCAGCCCAGGTTGGCTTCAAACCTCCTGTGTAGCTGGGGATGAACTTGAGCTCCTAATTCTCCTGACTCCACCTTCTGAGGGCTGGGATTACAGATATGTGCCAACATGCTTAATTTTATGCAGTGCTGGGATTGAATCCAGGGCTTTATGTTGACTAGGAAAGCATTCTTTCAACTGAGTTACAGCGCCAATCCCCTCTATGTTGTCTTATTTGAGGTGGGAGGAATTGGCAACTTAATGTATTAACCCATTTTATATTGCTAGAAAGAATGCCTGAAGCTGTGGTACTTTATAAAGAAAAGAGGTTATTTAGCTCACAATTTTGGATGCTAAAAGTCTAAGATTAGGTAGCTCCACTCATTGGCCTCTGCTGAGGGCCTCACAGAGGAGGCCAATAGAGTTCGAAGAGGGGAAGCACGTCTGAGAATGAGAGATCCCCTGGTGAGACAAGATGCTAAAGGGTGGAGAGAAACTGATCTTGTAACAATCCACTTCCACAAGTTCTAACTCACTCCAGGAAACCAGCAGCAGTCCCTTCCAAGGTCAGTGCTCTCAGTGACCTAGTTATTACTCACTGGTCTCCACTTCTTACACATCCCACCACTACTCAGCATTGCTACACTAAGACCAATGTTCTAGCACATGAACTTTTGAGCAACATATTCAAATCATAGTACCCACCACTCAGGCGGAGAGGCATTATGGCCCAGAGTCAGTCATGGAATGAATCTTTTTGTGACTGACAGGTGTCATTAAAGGCTCTTGAACCTATTGTGCTGCATGCCTGTGATTACAAATGTAGAGGTGCTGGGGTGATGGTTCAGTCAGTAAAGTGCTTGTTTTGCAAGCATTAGGACTTGGGTTTGATTCCCAGAGCCCACATTAAAAGCTGGGAATGGGCCAGGTGTGGTGGCACATGCCTTTAATCCCAGCAGAGGCAGGCAAATCTCTGTGAGTTCAAGGCCAGTCTGGTCTACATAGTGAGCTCCAGGCCAGCGGGGGCTACAGGGATACAAAACAAAACAAAACAAAATAAAAAAGCTGGGCATGGTGGCATGTACTTATAATTCCAGGGCTGGGGAGGTAGAGACAGGTAGATCCCTGGGGCTCAGTGGTCAGCCAGCCTAAATGAATCAGCAAGCTACAGGTTCCCATGAAAGACCTTGTCTAAAAACAAACAAAACAAAATACCCAAAACCAAGGTGGAATGGTGTGGTGGTTTGAATAAGAATGTTCCCCGTAGGCTCAAAGTATTTGAATATTTGGCCCCGGTTGAGGGGGGCTTGGGAGATGTGCCTTGCACATCACTGAGGGTGGGATTTTTCGAGTTCTTAGCCTTGCCCCGTTTCTAGTTTTGCTCTCTGCTTCCTGTGCCTGCCTGAAGATGTGAGTGCTCAGCTTTCTGTTCCAGCTGCCCCCTGCCATGCCTCCTGCCATGATGAACTCTTACCCCCCTGAGAGCGTAAGCCTATTAAACTTTTCCTTCTATAAGTTGCCTTGGCCAAGGTGTTTTATCACAGCAGAGAAATAACTAATAACTGATGACTGTTTAGGAATGACACCTTGAGCACAGATACCCACCAATAGAGGGAGGCTCTCTCATTCTTTCCTTAATGTGTATTATACAATCCCTTTAGAAAATACATGTTGGTCCCTGAGTGGTCTTCTTGGAGTTATAGGTGAGTTCAAAGATGCTCTGTGTCTATGGAAGACAGTGAGATGGAGTTCCATGGGTTCCCAGCCCTCCTAAGTACCAGAGTTCTTCTCATGGGAACCTGGCACAGCAGAGCCACGGCATATGCTAAATCCTACCACAGAAACTCTCCTGTCTTCTTCCTGGTGAAACAAACACTGACTATGGAGGGTGTCTGCCTACAGACAGTGTCTACCTGTGGAGGGAGTCTGGCTATGGAGGGCATCTACCTACAGTGTCTACCTGTGGAGGGAGTCTGACTATAAGGATTATTTGTCTATGCTCTTTCCTTCTCAGAAATAAGTCCAAGCATGGTGTGAGTGTGGGGAGGGACAGTAGGTAAATAGGTCCCAGCTTGGTTTGGTGCTGTTTATTTTCCTTGAAGGGTAAAAACCCTGGAACAGAGTGTGATTAATTCACTAGTCCCCCAGGGCAGCTTTCTTGGATGGTTCAGAAGCTGAAGTCAGGGAAGCAGCTTCCAAGGCAACTGCTACCATGGAAACAAGAATGTTAGCTTTGGGGGGACCTTGCTCCTAAGGCCCCTCCAGACCCAAAGCAGCTGGAGCAGTTGGCATAGGACCAACGTAAGCTGTTTGTAGAGCTAGGTCTAGCGAGGACCAGGAAAGAGGAGGCCCCCAGAGCTCAGGACGGTGGACAAGTGGAAAGTGGAGGTCCAAAGACTTGCTCATTCCTATGGCCAGATGCCCTTGGACAGGAGTCTTTAGGATCCAGCTGAACTAGTACTGGGGCTGGGCCAATATATAGTAGCTGGAATTGAGGAATGAGGCCTGAGATATTTCAGATGCTGGGACTAGCTCTCTCCTTTCAAGGTCAAGCTCAGTGTAAGCCCTGGAGCTGGGTAACTGTATTACAACATCCTAAGTCCCAATGACTGAACAGGGCTCTACCATCTCAGAGCCTCCTTCAGGGCATCTGCCATATCTGTCTCTGCCTAGCAGAGCCAGGACTTCCCAGGTAAGCCAGTAAAGGCAGGTCTAAAAACCAGGGCTTCCAGTCTCCAATAACAGGTTCTTCCTAGGCACAACTGCCCCTCTGGGATAGGGACCCCAGCACAGGAAGATGGGCAGAGCAGCCTATCAAAAATCCTAGGGGCCAGAGGTCTGACTTCTCTCAAAGCTCAAGATCAATCTGCATACCACACAGAAGGCCTCAGACAGCTCCCTTGACAAAGAAGGGGACAGCTCATTTCCAACCATGGTATTGTGGGTTTATTAATGCCTGTGGAGGGAGTCACAGGGTAGCCACAAGTGGAACCAGCATTTCCACTTGATGGAGCACCTACTGGGTGTACCCAGAACCCTCTACCTTCATTACTTTGTAACTGTCACAGCATAGTACCATCATCCTCATTTAGAGCTAAAACTGAGTATAACTTGTCCAACTAGCCTGTAAATGCTGGGCTGGAACTTGAACCTAGGCAGAAAGACTCTGGGTCCTAAGCCAGAAGAAGGAATTCAAGTCCCACCATTCATTCCTAGTTACACAGCCAATAACTTTTCCTTTCTTTGCTGTTTTGTATTTCAGTGGTATAAAATAAGTGTTTACCCATAGGACAGCTGTGAGAATTAACACCAGTAAACTCCTTATAATGAACTTGTTACTTTATGAATGCATAATTGGTAGCCAAATCAAAGTGGGCATAGTAGCATTTAAACAGAGCTGTCTGAGGCAGAGGACCTATGTGGTCAGTGTGGGGCGGGCACAACTTAGGCAGAGACACAGAGGCATGAGAGCCCAGGGTCCTAGGCTGCAGGATGGGTGGGGACAAGTGGGATGTACATAATTTTGGAAGCCCCTGAAATCACAATCCTGTTGGGGTCATCTGGAGGACGGGCCAGGCTGGCGCTGGAGTCCAGGGACAGAAATCAGATCTAGTCCTGCATGTTCAGGTACTGAAAGCCCTTGGCCATTCTGCAAGCTGACCTTACTTCAGATAGAAGGGATGTAAAGGCATTTATGGTAACCTGGCCCATGACCTGAGTCCTGATCCCATCCGGACTCCTTCTTGTCACCTTCCTGGGAAGTTGTGAAGGTCCTTCCCACCCAGCCCTCTCTAGTCTGGCTGTGGATAGGAGGCACCATTTCCATCTGTCACCACCTCTGGCAGGACAAATGCAGTCCTGGGCATATAGCAGGTCCTCAAAGAAAGCTTAGTGCTGGATGTGGTGGCGCACACCTCTAATCCCAGCGCTTGAGAGGCAGGTGGGTCTCTGTGAGTTCAAGGCCAGCCCGGTCTACATAGTGAGTTCCAGAACAGCTGAGGCTACAGGGAGACCCTGTCTCAAAAAGACCGAAAAAAAAAAAAAAAAAAAAAAAAAAGCTTAGTAATGCTTAGAGGGGACATCTGTGGGTGTGTATGGGGTCATCTACTATAGCTCCTTTTGAAGTCTGCTTGTGTGATGGCTGCTGCTGATCCTACCTTGACCGCTTAATATACAGCCCCCCCTAAAAAAGAGCTGTTTATTTATAGAAGTGGAATTTGATGAATTTCAGTTCATTTAAAAACAGAAAAGCAATGACTCCATTTTGCCTTATTGATCAAATATTTGGGAATCCTCACCCTACCCTCATTGGGCTCCTCAAATTTTCAGGTTAAAAAAGGACCACCATGTCAGTCATAGCAATTTAAAATTATTTATTAAAACAAACACAAGGTATGAGCATTATCTTGGTGATTGTGGTTGTGTGACTAATGACTATAACATATGCAAATCTGTTTTCTTTATGTAACTCCACAGCTTATCTGACAATGGTTGTACCTTCATGTTCTGAGGCAGTGGGCACAGGCACAGCATTCCTCAGACCTGGCTGCCTGTGATCTGGCTTCATCTCAGACACAGCAGTCTGTCTAACTGTCCTGGCTTTGTGCCACTCTCCAGAGAAGACCTGGGAGAACATAGCACCAGCAGACGGCGATACTGTCTCATCATCGGAACAGCTTAAAACCAGTTGGAATTGTGGGGAAGGTCGATTAAAACCCAAGCACATGTTATCCACTCTGGGAAGTTCATGGCTTGCAGTGGGAGTTTAAAGTTCTATGTCTGCTGGAAGTGCATGATTAAAAACGCAAACATATTTAAAAAAAAAATAATACTGACCTTAGCAGCAATCCCAAACAAGGAAAAGGATGATAAATGAGGAACACCTTTTGGTCACGGCAAAGAAAGATTACACGCTTCTCCGTGCTACAGACTGGAAGACTGATCCAGCTCCCTGCCTGTCCTGAATTGGGGCTTTGTTCAGTTAGGGAGAGGACAGGTAGAGAGGACATCCGGAGGGCAGAGGAAGGTGGAAGGACCTCCAGAGGAAGGTTGACAGTACAGAGAGGGAAGAGGCATGTGTTGGCAGCCTCTGTCAGCTCGTTGAAGCTGGCTCCCTGAAGGCTGCAGCCCCAGCAGCCCCCACCACACGCTGGATCCCGAATCTGCATGCAGTGAGCAGGTGGAGCCCAGAGATGTCCCTGCTGCAGGCGATTATGCAAAGTGACAAGTGATTGCTTTCCTTTTCAAAGACAACCCCCTACCCCAAGCTTTTTCTTCTAAGTACCCAGGGGAAAGGGGGGATGGGTGGGAACCTCAGGCCTTTGTGGATAGAAAAAGCTTGCCTAGAGTAGCAGAGCAGAGCAGGTCCCTCTGCCCACTCTACACTTTGGCCTCACAGGTTTCCAGAGGCATCTCCTGGGCAGGCTGATGAGGTGTGACTCAGTGGTTCAGAGCCCTGTGGGTGTTGAGCATAGGTCTGCATCTCCACTTCGCCCAGCCTGGGCCTGGGCTCGCCTGCGTGCCAGGCGAGACTTGGATGGTGGCGAAAGCTTCACGGAGCAGAGGCCCTCAGCTAGGGTCACATGTTCCTTGGCCAGTTCGTTTTCCTCATGCTGAGACAGCTGGCGGTTAAGAGCAATGGCCTCTGCTGCAAAGAGGGTCAGGTCCATGGTGCTGCTGTTTCTGTAGGGGCCGGGGAGAGCATGGAGAAGAGGGCAGCAGGATTGGCGTCAGCCAGAGGGCTTCTGGATGTGCCCACTCACTGCAGGGTTCTACACTCCAGCAGATTTTCGTGAGCCAGGCTGCTCTCTCCAAATCAGCTTTTGCCTGGGTTTGGAATCTGGCTTGACTAAGGTTAGAATGGCCTTTGAGCTTCAAGTACAAGCACTGGACTGGAAGGTCAGGCAAAGGCCTCTTCTCCAGCACCACCTCCAGGTTCTACCACAGTTACAGTTCTCAAGCCAGTGCAATGCACTCAACTAGACTGTCTCCCTCTTCCCACAGGTCAGGGAGCTCTGGTGCAGGGGCTGTGCTATTTATGCTTTCCCAGAGCCCAACTCAGGGCCAGCATCTGACAGGCACTTTGGGGGACCTGGAGTTTGACACTGGGAGGCACTTTGCAATAGCTCCAGAGTTGGTGGGAACCCCAGCTGGGCAGTTGAAGCCTGAGGTGAACAAATGGAGACTCCTCTGAGTAGTTCTTCCTAAAAACTGGGTCTCCGGGGCAGTTCCTGTCAGGTTTAGCACCAGTCTTATGGGCAGTTTGATGGGAATATATCTATAGCCAGTTATCCAGGGCTACTACGTGGCCTGATAAGTTAACTTGAGCCCACTAATCCTCAATTTTCCTCATCTCTAAAGAGATCAGAAAACCTTTAAGTTTGTTGTGAAGACTACAGAAATAAATAGTCATCTGCCACATGGCATTTCAGTCACTGGTACATGGCACATGGTAGCCCCAGAGGTTATATCACCCAGTGTCATCCCTGATGTTTATACATGATGAAATGACATTTCTTTTCTCCTTCCTGTTTTTAGTGCTGGGGACTGAAGTCAGGGCCTTGTGCATGCTAAGCACATGTTTGTTCTACCCCTGAACTGCATGTTAGCCCCAGGGAACAGCATTTCTCTCACCACATTTCTCAGGATGCGTGCCAGTCATTGGCCAACACATGGCTGTTTCTGAAATGTCCTTAGCATAATACTGGATATGTGGTAAGCATTTAAGACATAAAGGCCATGACCATCCTTGTCTGCCTAACTGTACTGACAACTTGGTTCTCTGCCTTACAATGGTACCTCCCTCTCCTAAGAGCAGGACATCCCCGGGAGACTAACCCATACATAAGTTCCATTTGTGGGCTGAAAATGATGAGCCACAGTCATATCCAAGTAGGTATAAAAGCGTTTTTTTTTTTCCTGCAAACAGTACAAGGAAAGGCCTCAAAGGCACCAGAGAGCTGAGAAGCAATCTAGATAGACGAAGATGAGAGAGATCTGTGTGGAGAACAAGGAGAGGGCTGAGGAGAAGTGGCCAGAGTGCTCTCTGGGGAGGGCATCCCTGTACCCCACAATGTGACTGAGAGCTTGAGGGAAAGTCAAGGCCAAGTTGAGAAGGCAGTAGGTATGACGGAAGCATTTACCTCTGGAGGACTTGCGGTGTGGGGAGTCCCCTTTCTGGAGCTTGCTAGAATGGGAAGGAAAGATTGTGGGTAATGCTGCTTCCTCCTCCCAAGCGCTACCCCCACCCAGGCCAGTATGGGGGCACAGGGAACTGGCTATACTTGCCTGCAGGGTCTGACCTTCTGAAGGGAGCACGGAAAGTACACTGAAGTCACAGCTGCCTCAGCACGGCCAGCCCTCCCGCTCCCTCTTCCTGTCATAGTCCTAATTGTCCTCTAAGTCCCAGGTCAAAGGTTACTTGCCATGGAATGTAGTCCTCTTTCCCTGCCCCTTCCTGCCCTCGGATCCAAGCAGAACCTTTGTCCCTTTGTGCCCCTAGCACTTTCTACAAGAAGCATCTATCACGCTGTTACAAGGTCTATTCTCACTACTAGAGTGTGAAGACAGACCTGGGCTTTACTCGTCTCTGTACTGCTTGGCTCTGACATATAGTGGTGGGAATTAGGCACTGAGCTACCCTGAGATCACTCTAGGTTGGCAACACTTGCTTCCTTCGATGGGCAGGGTGATGGAGCCTGGCTAGGGTATGCCAAGAAAACACAGACTCCTCGGAGGGGCAGAGGTCAGGTACTATAACTAACCATGAAGAATTTAAAAAACTGTTTTCTAGTGAAGACCTGGATCCTGAGCTCAGGGAAAAGACCATTACTTGTGTTTCAGGTCCTTGCACCCCAACCTCCCAGCCACAAGGAGAACCACCTGTCTCCAATGCAGCCACACAAACTGCAGGACTTTGCTGACTTCTGGATACTCTCAGCTAATAATTTTTTGTGTAAGAGGTACTGCAGGCCCCAAATGACAACGCCAGGCTGCTTTCTGCGGTGGGAGCTTCTGCCAACAGTAGGATGCACGTGCTAAATCCTCATAGGGCTCTGTGGGTTTGGTCTGTGGCCAAGGTTGAGTCAAGTCTATGGTGCATGAGGGGGCTGAGCCAGCGCTGTAGGAGTCAGTTCCCTCTACCATAGATCACTGAAGTTGCTGTCCCACCTATCCCCAGCTGGGGGCAGCCACTGGGATGAGAGCTTCCTTCTGCAGAGCTGCAGGTCAATGGAGGCATCCTGTAGTAACTTACCCCTTGTACCCACGGATGCTGCAGGACTTGTGTAGCACTGAGTCTTTGTTTTGCGTCTCGAACTAGGAGCTTAGAGATGAGGTCTTTGGCCTCACTGGAGATGTGAGCCCAGTCCTTGTCAGGAAACTCGTATTTGCCTTCCTGGATGCTCTCGAACAGCTTGTTCTAGGCAAAGAGAATTCCTCCTGAGGCCACACTGGTCAGGGATGGGCAGGATTTGCCTGCCATTGATCTAGTCACCCTGGCTCCTACTGTCTTCTGCTAGACTGCTGCTCACAGCTTGGGAATGCTTGACAGAGCCTCCTTCTTAAACCTCCCCTGAGTCCCCAGATACCACCCAATGACATTGGAAGACCAAAATGGCTATGGCACTTGGAGGACAGGAGAGGAGACAAGTGAGTGCTGTTTATAGAACCAAGTCCAATCCTGGCAATCCTCTCAGCATCACTTTCCACTACTACCAACCTGGTGCTCTTCTTCCTCCTGTGTATGGGCAACGGCTTCATGCTGCTGTGTCTCAGTCTGTGCTCATCTCCCCATTTATAGCTCTTGTCTCTCTTGGGCAAGACTTACAGTTTAGTCTGTTCAAGTTTGCTCTTCTTGACAATCCTTCCCTGAACTGGTAGCTGGCTGAATGTCTTATCTCCATTTTACCTATGGCTGCCCTGCCAGGAGAGGGCACCATAAACTCCTTCCAGACCAGAAAGAGTTTCCCAGCCTAGTCCTGCTTGGTACCCCACAACCACATTGACCCCCAACAGTGCCTGCACAGTGGGCCCCAGGCAGCACTCACCTGGCATACCCTGCACACCTCTCCCCGGTCCCAGCCACAGTCAGCCCCACAGTGACCTACAAAGGGGGGGTAGCCACTCAACATGATGTAGAGGACCACGCCCAGGCTCCACAGGTCACAGCGCTTGTCATAGAAAGTGGCCTCGTCCCTAAAGACCTCCACCACCTCGGGAGCCATGTACTCTGCAGAGCCGCACTGTAGGGTAAGGGCATGGGCAGGGGAAATGGCAAAGAGAGAGGGTGAGTTCAAGGGTGAGCAGATGGCAAAGTGTAGAATATAATTCAAGCATGAGGATGGAGGGATGGAGTCACAGACAGAGGTCCTTGGGAAAGCCAGGGGGCTCACCTGGTACCACAGACACCAAGAGAAGTACCTGGTACCATAGACACCAAGAGAAGTTTAAGTGGAGCTTTCATACCCTGTGGCTCAAATGGCCAACTCTAAGCCACCTTGTCTTTTTAGGTCCTTCTCCAGTGGTCCTAGTTAAGAAGCCCAGGAGCTCCTCCTACCTCAGTTCTCTGTAAACAGACCTCTACATGTGTAGACTTAACTGTTAAGAATGTGGCTTGCCATTTGTTAACGCCCATAGGTTAAGTTATTATAGTAGCCATTGTTTAGATGTTCTTGCTTTTTGCTGTTTGTTTTTATAGTAGATGGAATCCCACGGAAATGGGCCAACAGCCCATGGAAAACTGATGATGCAGAGACCTGAAAGTTCAGTGCCTTGCCACAATGGAAGGAAGACCATCCCATACCTACCACCCCCTCCAAGGTTCAGAGACTTTTGTGGAAGAGGTTGGCAAAAAGAATGTAAGAGCCAGCCGGGCGTGGTGGTGCACGCCTGTAGTCCCAGCACTTGGGAGACAGAGGCAGGCAGATATCTGTGAGTTCAGGGCCAGCCTGGTCTACATAGTGAGTTCCAGGCTACCTGGAACAGCTGGAGGAAGGAGTGAATTGTTACCTGGAGGTGTCCTCAGACCACTATGCTGGCAAGCTATAGTCACACCTTCCCATGCTCATCAAGGAGTCAAGGGGGGAGTCAGTTACTCCTCCTACCCAATCAGTAGCTACATGTGGGGGAGGGGCAATATAAGCCGAGAACACCATGAGGCACCTCTTGCCATTTTGTGCGGCTGTTGGGAAGTCACAGGACCTATATTTGAGTGTGAACTTTCCAGCACAGCCATAAATTGGGGGGAGGGCTCCCATTCTTCTGTAAATAAACCCCCACCCTATGCACTGTTAGTAAGTCCAAAAAGCTTGTTAGGATTAAAAAAAAAAAAAAGAACATAGTTTGGGAGCAGGATCTGTGGAGATTTGGCTCTATCTAGCAGGGGCTTTTAAAAGTGACCCTTGCCTAGCTCCCTACTAGCTTGGAACACAGAAGCCAGAGGCCATCAAATATTGAAGAGCTCTGACAACAAGCCCAACGTCCTTGCCTTTCAGAATGGCAAGTCTCAGGGTGGGGCAGTGACATGGCTGTGGTAGTCTCAGACCAGGGTCCCTCCCCAGTCTTTGCACATGATTTAGAGGACTAAAGCATGTTTTCTGCTTTCCTCTTATGTCACGCTCACCCACTCCTACCTCCTAAAACTAATTCGATTAGAAGATGGTGAATGTTCTCAAGAACAGATACTTTTTTTTTTATTATTAGCAATTAGAGTTAATGACTTTGAGAACAAGGTAGCCCTGTGCATTAGATGCTAATATAGAAATATTCCTAATATGTAGGCCAGGCTGGCCTTGAACTCACAGAGATCCTAAAGGCATGTCTTTTAAAAAGGCTATTAGGAAAATTCACGGATGAAGCATGCAAATCTCAAAAGAATCATCCTAATTACAGTGTACTAAGTATGAATAAATGATGTCTTCGGGAGAAGCAGCTCCCAGCACTATCATCTGACATGTGAGATGTGAAATAGGAGAACGAGTGGTCCTCTGTGCCTGTGGCCATGGACCTCACAGTTTTGCCACAGGGAGAGAAACACGCTCCACTTTCCTGGATGGGGAGGATTGCTCCCATCCTCTACCACAAAGGGGACAGACAGACTTCAGCAGAGAGAAAGGACTCACAGGGCTCTACATCTCATAGGGCAGGGCTGCACAGTGTGTCTGTTTTCATCTGGGACAGGATGCAGCCTATGCTAGAGGCAATCTCTTTTTTGGCAGAAGGGACCCATCCCAAATGGGTCTAGTGGCAGTTGTAGTAGCAACTGGGTTGGAATGGGTTTAAGAACCACAGGACCACTCAGGCCTGAGAAGTGTTACACAGGGTTTCCTTCCTCAGCCCTCTGCCATGGCTTCCAACACTTCATACACAAAGCAGCTTTGCCAGAAGGGCACAGGGTACTAAGCCATACATACTGGAGTGGTCAGTTCTGGTGTGGTTATGGGTATGCAGGAGTTGTTCAATTTCACCCCACTGCCCAAGTCAAAGTCACAGATTTTCACTGGAGATACCTGCAAAGAGATTAGAATGCAGAGGCCACAGTTACAAGAAGCTGGAGGGCATGGGGAGACCAGAGTGACCAGCACAGGAATGGTTGTCAAGTGCAGCCTGTTCTATCTACCAGGCCATATTTACTGTTCTTGAGCTAACGAGGAGCCACCTGAGGATTCTGCTCTTCCTCTCCTTCCTTTCTTATTTCCTAAGGGAAAAATGACCGAACTAGATGGCGTTAGTGTGCTGTGATCCCTTCTCTCTCTCTTTTCCCCCTCTTTCTTCTTTCCTTTTTCACTTGGCTTCTTACTCTTTCATTGTGATAAGATTAAAGCCATTGGGGCTGGAGAGATGGCTCAGTGGTTAAGAGTACTGACTGCTCTTGCAGAGGACCCGGGTTTGATTCCCAGCACCCACATGGTGGCTACAAATAGTCCTTAACTCCAGTTCCAGGGGAATCCAAAGCCCCCTTCTGACCTCTGTGGCATTGCACGACATGGGTGCACTCACATACATGCAGGCAATACACTCATGCACATAAAATAAAAATAATAAAAATATTTTTAAAAAAGATTAAAGCCATAAAATATGTCATTTTAGCTGTTATTTGTTGTTGCTATTTGTTTTTGAGATAGGATCTCACCGTGTCATCCTGGTTGGCCTGGAATGCACTATGTAGACCAGGTTGGCCTTGATCTTATAGTGCTGGGATTAAAGGTGTGCACCGCCACGCCAGGCTGTTTTAGCCATTCTTAAATGCACAACTCAGTGGCATTACTTACATACACTGTTACCACCATTAGTTTCCAAAATCTTTTCAATTCCTCCAAACAGGAACTAAACTCCAGCAGTTACTGCCCATTTCTAATCCCTAGCTCAGGCAAGCAACTCTAACCTACTTCTGACTTTACTGATTGGCCTGTTTCAGGTATTTCATGTAAGTGGAACATGCAAGATTTGTCTTGTGTTTCTGGCTCACTTAGCATAAATGTGTTCAAGGTTCATGTATGTTATAGCATGTATTAGAACCTCATTCTGTGTTAGGGCTGAATAACTCTTTTCTATGGAGATCACATTTTGTTTATCAATTCATCTACTGACAGACACGTGGGTTGTTTCCACTTGTGGCTACTATGAATAATGCTATCATGCAGATTATCTGTTTCAGTCTTTGTTTTAAATTCTTCTAGGCACATACCTAGAATTGCTGGGTTATATGGTATTTCTATTCTCAGCCTAGAGAGGACCTCTCAATCTGTTTCCCACATTCCACAGCACCACCTCTCTCTCTCTCTCTATCCATCCATCATCTATCAATCAATCTATCCATCCATCTTCTATCTATCTATCTATCTATCTATCTATCTATCTATCTAATATCCAGACTTGTAGGTCTGTGGTAATGTTTCACTGTGGCTTTGATTTGCAGTTCCCCAATGACCAAGGATGCTACATATCTTTCCACGTGCTTGTTAGCACCCATCTATATGTCATCTTTGAGGGAATGCCTCTTTAAGTTCTTTGATCATCTTAAAATTGAATTATATTTTGTTGTTGAATTTTAAGAGGCCTTTATATATTGGACATTAAACCATTTTTAGATATATGATTTTCAAATATTTTTTCTTCCATTATGTAAGTTATCTTTTCAGTTTACTTTTTCTTTTCTTTTTTTTTTTTTGTTTATTTTTTTGAGACAGGGTCTCCCTGTAGCTCCCAGCTGGCTTGGAAGTCACTATGTTGATCAGGCTGGCCTTAATCTCAGAGATCCACCTACCTCTGCCTCCCAAGTGCTGGGATTAGAGGCATGCACCACCATGCTCAGCCTTCTTTGCAGTTTTTTTAAAAATATTTTATTTATCATTTTTACTTCATGTGTATGAGTGTATTGCCTGCATGTATGTGAGTGCACCTGTGTTGTGCAATGCCGCGGAGGTCAGAAGAGGGCTTCGGATTCCCCTGGAACTGGAGTTAAGGATGGTTCGTAGCTGCCATGTGGGTGCTGAATCGAACCCAGGTCCTCTGCAAGAGCAGTCAGTGCTCTTAACCACTAAGCCATCTCTCCAGCCCCTTTGCAGTTTCTTGATAATGCCTTTTGACAGTTATCCTCTCTTAATTTTAGTTTTTTCAACATAAAAAAGGAGCAACAAAGGTACCATGGAGACAAATATCAAGCAATGCACCTGAAAATATCTAATGGGATGTTCTGAGCACCCATGGGGCTCCAAGGCCAGGTTACCTTAGTTTTAGTCTAGGTTGTTCTACCTACCAACTGAATGACTTTGTGTAAGTTTCTTAATCTCGCTGAACTCCAGTTTCCTCATCCATAAAATGAAGATAATAGTAGTATCTATCTTTGTCTTTTACTAGTATTTATCTTAAGATTTTTCTTTTTTTTTTTTTTTGGTCTTTTTTGAGACAGTGTCTCCCTGTAGCCCCAGCTGTCCTGGAACTCACTATGTAGACCAGGCTGGCCTCGAACTCACAAAGAACCACCTGCCTCTGCCTCCCAAGTGCTGGGATTAAAGGTGTGCGCCACCACGCCTGGCTTATCTTAAGATTTTTAAAAAAAATACTAAATAAATGCCTGGCATAATGTGAGTACTTGAAATGTTAACTGTAATTATTATTAATAATCATAATAATGACACATTATGAAGCTGTATGCCAGAATCACTGACAGGAAGTCACCAAACCTTACTTGAGCCAATATATGGACTGATTCATACGTTCACTCCCAGCCATTCCTTAGGTAGGGACTATGACATCTGCACTAAGACACAATGCTCTTACATAAGCACATCTATGCACACGCATGTAGGAAACTGGTACTACCAATCCCGTTTAACAAACGCAGAATTTGTAAGAACTATAACATCTCAAATCAGGCCCCAAATACCTTTTCTGGAGATTCACACAGTATATTTTCTGGCTTCAGATCACGGTGAGCAATGCCTGAAATGACAGACAAAGAAAGGGTTAACATACGCACATAATTATCAAACATTCCACACACAATTAACTTTTTCCAAATGCTGTTGTTCCCAGATTAATTCCCAATTATGGTACATTAAAAAATCAACGAGCTGCAGAAGGCAGAAGTAATCAGAGACACAAACTAAAAGCACAGTGGATTCTAGTTCTTCTGAAGGGGAGGCTTTACAAGTCTGGCAGGGATAAAAAGGGCTAAGTGACTCCCAGGCAGCCCTCTTTCAGCACTGCAGAGACAACCAAGAATTCTTCCTGTGCCATCCAATACAAAGCAAGGCAGAGAGTGCTGCGAGTACATGGCTTGCAACAGCAATGCAGAAATAATTAGTGACTTGTTTAAGAGCATCTCAGGGGCTTAGACTGCTCTACCTCATTTCTTCTTGTGTAACTGATTTAAAAAAAAAAAAAAAAAAAAGGTTCTTCCAGTGTGACTCCTGGAATGCTCAGAGGACAAGTGTTAGGAAGCAACTCTCCCAAAGCTTCTTGGATTCCCTTCTTACCTGCTAGGCATGTCTGTGGCAACCCTGCCTGCAGTAAAGCTTTGACCCAAGGATGCTGCTCTCCAGAGAAGACACCCCAGCATTCTGGCCAGATCTCCTGAAGAGGACTGCAGATGGCAACTGACCCCACAAGGGATTAAAGTTTGTTGATCTGGCCAAGAACATGCCTGGGAAAAACCATCTTCTAATCACAGAGAGGGACAAAGAACCAACAAATGGGGCCATGGTGCACAGGCAGAGGACACAGAACTCTCCTCTCTTTCCTTCCACAGCACACATAGCACCGAGATGTAAGGCCTGGAAGGGTGAAAGAGTCATACAGCTACTGCTTCAAAGGCCTAGGTTTCAGCTGAAGACTCAGAGTAGTGGGGAATGTGAATCTGCCTCACTTAAACTCCCTGGATGATCAACTTCTCAGGTAGTCCTCCAATTCCCTACTAAAAGGCCAAGGCCCTAGCCTTTGGAGGCACTTCACCAGAGAAGAAAAAGCTGACCTTCAGCAGGCTAAGTAACTTCATCAGTCACCTAATTGAATGAGAACCCAGAGCAACTCAGCCCAGCCTGCACAAATTGAGTCAGGCTACTGCTCACTGCACTAAAAGTGAAGGATATTTTCCATTATGGCAAGTGCTCCCACAGAAGATCATGAGCCGCACACGGAGCCTTACTCTCCAAATAGGTGCCTGTGGCCCATTTGTGCCTCAGCCTGAGAACTCAGGGAGCCAGGCTGTAATAATGGGCCTGCCTGAGTGAGCGCACTAGCCATCGAGCAGCTCTGGTTCATTTCCCAGAGGTTAAGTTGCAGTGTGTCCAGTATTTAAAAGTAGGGAACTTGTTTCAGGGCTGACCCATTCTTGCCTAATTCATCTTCCCAGCGTGAAGTTATTTAGAAAGCAGCCAAGTTCAGCTGGAAATCGTTTTTCATCCTTTCCAACTTTTAGTCACATGGGCAGCAGGCCAGCTAGATGGTAGTAACAAGCACTTCAGAACTCCTAAGATACCACTGGCCTCCGTTCCCTCTGGTGCATTCTCGTAAATAAATAAATAAAAAATAAAACCACTTTTACCCCTCCTCCAACGTATGGCTCTTGTGAAAAGCATGACCCAGTTTTGCCATCTACAGAAGCAGCTTGGGGAGCAGTTGTAAATCTTTGTCAAGCAGGTGTTACCTACATGCATCCCAGCTTTCAGAAACAGAACTGCTTCCATTCATCATGCTGTGAAAAGTACAGACACCTCCCCCTAGGAATGTTCGGCCCAGGTGCAAAGTCAGGGCCCCAGCATGGATACTAGGGGTTTGCAGATCACTTTAAGCCAGTGGAGGGAACCAGGAGGAGCCAATGATCTGGAACCTCCACATACCTGCCATACTTGGCTGTGCTATATTGCTGGCAAAAACTGGGCTGCGTGTATGGCACGTCTACAGTTGGTCCTAAGCCACTCATAGCAACAGTTGTAAAGGGAGTGGAGTGAAGTCACAAATTATTTGCTCCACCTCCACCCTCCTGCCACCAGGCACAATGCTTTACTTTAAGGGAAGTAATTTTAGAAATAAAAATACTTTATGTCTAGTGGGAGAGGCAGTTCCATTTTACTAAGGACTACTATGTGCCAGGGACTGTATATATAGTAGAGGCACTGTTCTGAGTCTTTATAATATATGGATTCATTTATGTAGTTGTGTGCATCTTCTGTATATATTGTGCATACATGATGCATTATGGCCCCATCACTATAGATGGGCATAGTTTTTGATGTGCACATGTGCTTGCATGCACAGAAGGCATACAGAAGATGCACAAGTACACAAATGAATTCATCCAACAGTACTCAGCACATAGCAAGTGAGATGTGTAAAGTACAATGTCATCTATCCTGTCACCATAACGTTATGAGTAGGTACCACTACCAAGAGAACCAATGGATGGAAAAAAAGGTGAAGCCATTTAAAAAAATGTATGGGGGCTAGAGCGATGGCTCAGTGGTTAAGAATGCATACTGCTCTTGTGGAGGGGACCCAAGTTCAGTTCCTAGCACCTATACTGGGCAGCTCACATCCCCCTATAACTCTAGTTCCAGGGGAATATGATGCCTCTGGCCTCCATGGGCACCTGCATACATGTGCACATACATACACACACAAACACACATAACTAAAAATAATCTTTAAAATGTATGTAATAGTCTTAACAGATTTATAGAAATATAAAAATACTTATTTGCAGAAAGACTTAATTCACTACAAAAGTTCTTAAGTTATTAGTCCTAAGAAAGGGAATGCAAACTGAAGTGCAATTAATGACAGAAAAAGGCCCTTTTAGCTAAGCGTGGTGGTGAGTGTGCTGGTGAGTATGGTGGTGCATGCCTTTAATCCCAGCACTCGGGAGGCAGAGGCAGGCGGATCTCTGTGAGTTTAAGGCCAGCCTGGTCTACATAGTGAATTCCAGGCCAGCTGGGACTCCAGGGAGACCCTGTCTCAAAAAGACCAAAAGGAACAAAACCAAAAACAAGCAAACCAAAATCCCCCAAAACCAAAACACAAAATATTCACACCAAAGTGGGCCTATCATTGATGAGTTTTGCATTCTTCAGCAAGAAAAGAAAAGAAAAGGAGAGCTGAAAAGATGGCTTAGCCACTAGGCTCTGGCTCACCAACAAAGAAAAGAAAGGGAGTGTGGTTCAGGGTCACAGTGCACAAACTCACACAGACTTCTGTCAGTGTGAAATCCAGTCTTTTCCCTCCCTCTCTTTCCTGTATCCTGATCTTGCTTAACCACTCCACTATATTCCCACCTTCCACAGAAGCCTAGGAGCCATGCTGGGCTGCCCCATCTCCCCTTCCAGAGTGGACATGTTTGAATCTTAAGGTGCCAGCTGTACCATCTCTTGGACAGGCTCCCCTGCTAGGCCTGTGCTCACTTCCTTGGTACCCAGAAGCTGACTGAGCTCAACCCGCCCACCCGAGGTAGAGGCTTCGATCACCTTTAGTATGTAGGAAGTCAAGGGCAGTGGCAACGTCCTGCACCACTCTGCTGGCTTCTAGCTCATTGAAGTGCTTCCGTTTCTGGATGTGTGCTAGGATGGAGCCTGGGGATCAGAGGGAACAAGGAAGAATGCCTTTGCGGGCTCTAGTAAGAGTAACTACTTTTTTTGTAGCCCCAGCTGACTGGGAATTCACTATGTAGACCAGGTTGGCCTTGAGCTCAGAGATCCACCTGCCCTGGCCTCTCCCAAATGCTGGGTTTAAAAGTGTGCACCACCATGCCCAGCTAGTAAAAGTAACTTTTTTAAAAAAAATTATTTTTATTTTACGTGTATGAGTGTTATGCCTGCATGTAGGTAAGTGTACCCATGTCCTGCAATGCCAATGGAGGACAGAAGAGGCTGTCGGATCCCCTGGAACTGGAGTTACAGACAGTTGTTAGCTGCCATGTGGGTGCTGGGATTTGAACCTGGGTCTTCGGCAAGAACAGTCAGTGTTCATAACCGCTGAGCCATCTCTCCAGCCCTGTAAAAGTAACTTCTTAAAGAACAAGTTTGGGGTGGGGACACATGGCTAAATGTCCAGCACCAAGAGTGGTACTTGGATTTTTTGTTTGTTTTTTTGAGACACAGTTTCCCTGTAGGTCTAGCTGGCCTGTAACTCCCTATGTAGACCAGGCTGGTCTTGATCTCAGAGATCTTCCTATCTTTGCCCTCTGAGTGCTGGGATTAAAGGCACACACTGCCATATTGGCTTTTGTTTTGTTTTTTGTTTATAGTTATTTTCAAGTGTGATACTTGGCACAGAAGGATCAGTGCATTTCTGCTGAACCAGACTGTCTTCTATGCCTATCCATGAGGCGTTCAGATATAGCAGAGAAAAATTACATACGTGGCAAAAGGATACTAATGCCACTGAAGCAGACATGGCTTCTGAAATCTAAAGGAGCTAGAAGTGAACACACATAGGACTGTGGGGGCCTTGGGACACTCCCTCTTCTCCACTTGAACTCAGATCCAAACAAGAACACACGGCTTCTAGTAGATTCGCCCCACCCTCATTGCATATGTTAAGGTCTGGGGGCTAGAGATTTGAACAAGACAGGATTGCTTTTCCTTCTGAACTTTCTTGTTATTATTAATTTTGTTGGCAATGACTAATATTTATTGAGTACTATGTGCTAGGAACTATTCAATGCTCTTTAAAAATATTACCTCAATGCAAATGCCCCAAATGGATAGGATAGCTACCACCACTTTATGAATGGGCAACTTCATGCCAAAAATGGTTAAGCAACTTGCCAAAGACTTGCAAGTGGTAGAGCCATGACTTTTGCCAGTAAGTCCAGCTACAGAGCCTCTGCACATTTCCTCCCAGCAGGACTGTGATCCAGCTGCTAGGAGGATGGACTGTGTTGAGCCAACCTGCATCTTCTTCACTAGAGCTACAGAGGACCCTAAGTGATAAGGTTACAGAAGACGCTAGCTGTACCTGGAATTCCCAACATGGAATTCACAGCCTATACTCATGACTAGAAGTCAATATTTCTGGGCTGAAGGTATCATTTCTGTCCTAAAAATGGGCCATGCTTACTTATCTTTTTTTGTTTGTTTGTTTTGCCCTGACGTAGTGAGCCTCTTGTTTCTAAATTTCTTTTAAAAAGGAAGGCAGATGGGGCTGGAGATGGCTCAGCGGTTAAGAACACTGGTTGTTCTTGCAGAAAGGTTTGAATCCTAGCACCAACATGGCAGCTAACAACTGTCCGTAACTCCAGTCCTAGGGGATCTGACAGCCCCTTCTGACCTCCGAGGGCATTGTACAACACAGGTGCACTTACCTACATGTATACACATAAAAAAAATACACGCATACACATAAAAAAAAGGTTTAGAAAGGAAGGCAGAGAACAGCAGTCTACACTCTTTTTAGACAGTCTTCAGCATAGTCAGTGGTTTTACTAATAGCCAGCATTTATTGAACCCTTTGTGCCTGCCAACACAGTCCTAAGCATTTCACAAGCACTATCTCTTTTAGTCGTCATGGCAATGTCCAGGTAGGTATTGTCAATAGCCCCACTTTAGCCATTGGAGAGATGGTTCATCAGTTAAGAGCACTGGCTGCTCTTCCAGAGGACCTGGGTTTGATTCTCAGCACCCACATGGCAGCTAACAACCATCTGTAACTCCAGTTCCAGGCGATCTGACACCCTCTTCTGACCTCTACGGGCACTTCATGACACAGGTGCACTTCATACACATGAGATAAAATAATAAATTAAAAATATTTTTTAAAAAATAGCCCTACTATTAGCCGGGCATGGTAGTGCATGCCTTTAATCCCAGCACTTGGGAGGCAGAGGCAGGCGGATCCTCGTGAGTTCAAGGCCAGCCTGGTCTACACAGTGAATTCAGGTTGGCTGGGACTACAGGGAGACCCTGTCTCAAAAAAAAGCCAAAAAAAAAAAAACCAGCCCTACTTCACAGTCGAGAATACTATTTGGAAACCACTAAGTGATGCTCCCAAGGTCACATGCCTGTGATTTAAACTTAGCTTTGTTGGCTTCTAAAAGCATTTTCCCTTGACCACCAAGCCCACTATGTAGCATTCCATTCAGCTCCACACATTCCTGTAACCTTCACCTTGCAATTGTGTCCTAGGGCTGGGTGAGGAAAGAGGAGGAGAAGTGTTGTTTAAAAGCAACTTAAATGTACATTCCAGTGATGCACATGTGAGAGACTGAAGTATGGTGGCAGACAAGTAGCATCCTTCCACCTGAAGGGTGGCGAGTTCTCCGCCTCCCCTGTATCCTGAATCTGTGTTCCAAACAATGGGGCCCTCATCTCCTCTTTGAGTCTTTCTAGACTTCACAATGTATGCCAAAGCTCCCACCTCATAATTAATTTAGTTAAATAGTGAATGTGTCAAAACAGGGGACTGATAAATTGATCACAAACAGTATCTATATATGACTCCTATTATAATGAAAAGGCATTTACAGACTGCCCACACAGGTGACATTCTAAGCTCTGCAAAATGCTAATTACCATCCTTCCCTCCGGCCTCCCTTCTCCCAAACCAAGGGCAGTTTTTAAGTCCTTCATCCTTTTTATTAGCTTGACTCATTTTAGAAGTCTCTGGGATTCATGATGGATGATCACCACCCTGGGTCTTAATCCAAAGTCCAAACACATACTCAACAACAAGTACCTCCTTGCAATTTCTCAAAGACCAAGTAAAACCTTGTGTCATCTTCAAAGAACTCAATCAGCTCCAAAATGTTCCTTAAAAAATATAGAAGGAAAGAGGGGTTAGTATATGTTAAAGTCCACTTATAAATATACAATGAACAAATATGCAATGCCTGCAGTGGGGAAGAAATCAAGTTGAAATCAGAATGCTTATTAAAGACTCATGTTTGAGAAGCAGCCAATGGTGTTAGCAAGATTCAGGTCACCTTATCTTTCCATAATATTTAGTCTCTGGTGTTTTCACCAAGTCTATGCTGTCAAACCCCAACCCTAAAACCCACTAGGTAGAGTTATAAAAAAGTCCCGGTCACATTAAACTGAATAAAATCTGCAGCCGACTGGAAGCAATTGCGGCTAATAACGCTGAATAGTAGGTGTGTGTCCTGGAGGCAAGCAGCAAATAATTACTTGCCCTCCCTCTTGCCCATAAATCATGGGGCAGTATTTACATTGCCTGGAGAAAATGGAAACATCTGTCAAATAGACTTGGGGCCTAACGTGGGCACTGCTAGACCCTAACTGCTAAGCGCTGCTTAATGAAACGGCCGCGTTCCTGGCCACTGTAGCACTTGTGGCCTTCCCCGGTGAGCACTCTCTGTCTGCCCGGGTGTTGCAGTACTCTGCCAACAAGGTCGTCTTGTAACTCAGTAGGGAAGCCACCAGCCTGGATATTGGAGGGGTTGGGGGTTTTTTTCTTTGAAAGAATGAAATAAACCAAGTAGAGTCTCTAATACTGAACTAAGAAGCTGCAGGGCTGAAAATAAAAATCTGTCCCTCATAAAAAAATGCTGACCACTTGGGGAGATACCAGGCTTTTACTAGCGTGAAGACGTCCAAATAAGATGGCCAAAATGGCCTAATTTAAAAGAAGATTGTAGAGGCTGTGCCTGGAGTTAAATCAACAGCAGCCCCCATCCTCCAAGCTTAATGACAAAGCCATCAATACCAGGCTACTGGTTCCCTGCTGACCCTGCCAAGGGGGGTGGGGAGCAAATCTTGGAGGTGACCCTGATTTAAGGCCACAGTGGGAGGGCCACTCATTTGGAACTGTGTAACACAGGGCTAGAGGTTACCATGGCCCAGATATCAGGCAAGGAGTGCTGGCCCCAGCTTTAGCACCTTTAATGGTATCTTACAGTGCAAACAGGAAACAGTAGTCACTAGTCTTGTGTCTGTATTAACGCAGCCCTAAAGATTTTGACCATGAAACACTAGGCTGGCTCAGTGTCCACAGACACTTGAAGAAATGAAACCCCATTTCTTCCCCAAATAGCCACTGATTTGGAGTGCCCACTCTTCTCCCTTGCTGACTGCTGTCACAGTATTTCAGCCAAAAGAGAAGATGGCTTCTTGGGGCTATTGCTATTCCCTCTCCCTCCTCTTTCTCTCCTTCTCTCCCACTGTAAACTAGGCGTTAACATGCAATTGTGGGGAAACAGGGACAGTGAAGTGCTGGAATCAGGGTATGGTAAGAAATAATCCTTTCTGTGGCCAAGCAACCCCCAGAGAAGCAGCAAGTCACCCACATGACACACTCACTTGTTGCCTTGACACTGATAGAGCGTCTCCACCTCTCGGAATACTCGACTCCGACTGTGCCCTGCTTGTTTTTCGATGATCTGTGGGAAGAATAAGATTGTCATGTACACTACCTGACCTCAGACAGATCCTCAGCTAGAACTCCTGGGAGAAGGCAAGGCTAGACCCAGTCACCAAATTGACTTTCTAGCAAGAGTATGAAGTGGGCCTTGGTGACACAGGCACTATGACTCTGTCAGGGAAGCAAGACACCAGCCCAAGCTTCCAGTCTAGTTTAGGCTGGTCAGCTCTGTACAGCACTGAGGAAGTCTGCAAAGCTGCTGTCTCCAGCTATGCAGGGGAGACTGAGGTAACCAGGGAGACAATGAACAATTTATACTGGCTCCTAATCCTGAAGGGCAGGTACTTCAGACTTTTCCAGAGATGGAGGAAGGGCAAGGCTGAGAGAGGACATGGTGAGGAGGAACCAAAGACTCCTGGTCCAGCTCAGATGCCACTCTGCAACTCCCCCAGGTAGAAGAAAACACTTCCTCTTCTAGGACTTTACTCTTTGGCAGGCCCTGTGTTAAGTAATTTAGACACTACTCACTGTTGGTCAACCCTCATAGCAGTGTCAAAAGACCGGAAGATGTGTCTTCTGTCTACTCCCAACCACTGCTGTCCCACACTCGCTGCCAGGCTAGACAGCATCATCCAGCACCCAGAGATTTCATTTCTCCTCCCCTACTGTGGGATGCTCCTGCCACATTTCCACCTGGAGCTGCTTAGCAAGTCCTGACTGCACGTACACATGGGTCTACTCAGCTGGGGGTTGTATGGGGTTTGGTTGGCTCTGAAAGGCTCTCTGGACCATTGCAAACAAAACCTGCAGGCGAGCCTTCCACAAAGCTAGTTCCTCTTCATAGCTCAGATGGGAATGTCCTGCCTCTTCCTTCTAACTGCTTGGTACAACACTTTAAACAACTCTAATATGCTGTATCATACACATGCATGAACAACTGTAATTTGTAGATAAGTCATACCTATTAGTAAATCATTGTGGACCCATCTTTGAGCAGTCAGGAAGGTGCAGTGATAGGGGACAGAAGCTATTTGACTCTAAGCTATTCATTCAGCCTCATTCATCACACAGGGAAGGTCAAAGTTAGGGACAACTTTCTAGCAGGCAGGCTTTTGAGCAATAGCAGACTTCTCTCAAAGGAGATAACTAATGGGTTCTGACCACTAGAGATGGGACATAGAACATGGAAACCTACTTGGGGAGCTTAGAAGAAATCTGGACCATATTTTCTGGACATCCCATGCCAGCTCTGTGCGTCATTGGTTAGATCCTGGAGGGAAGGCAGTAGTAAATCATGTCTTAGGGAGCTATGCTGGGAAATCTAGCTTGACTCTGGGGAGCTTTTGGAGAGTCAGGGTGACAGGAGATAAGGGCAGAACTGCTGATACCAATGATCTGCAAAACCAGGGCTGGTACTGCCCAAAGTTGCCAAGGGAAATGCAGCAGAGGGCCATGCTTTTCTCCTGTGATTCACCCTGGAAGAAATAGACCTGCCATTTATCATTCATCAATATAGCTTCCTTTGGAAATCAATTTACATTTGCAGTTTTTACTACTCTTATGCATATTAAAATTCTTTTTAACTTATAATGACCTGGTTCCAAAAAGGAATGGAGGCAGCTCTTTTGATATCATGTGAAGCAACACCCCAGCCAGAAGATTTAGCAGAAATGTTTTTTATAATCCACAACTAGGATTTCAGAGAGTTGGTTGGAATGTTTCTTTCAGAACCAGTTCAGCAGGGCTGCCCAGAAGTAGGCAATGCTCAGACCTGATGGATCAGGGTACTGATCTGAAATAAGCTTAACCTACTTCTCTTCCCCTGCCCCAGATTTGGCAACACTCTAGAGCTCAGTGGTCCTCAAATAGTGAGTCTCAGAATCACTGGGTCACTTTGGTTGAAGGTATAGCTTTAGACTTTCTCCTACACTGAGATGCTCTTAGCTCCCTGGCTGATCCTCACCCACTGCAGTTTAAACTTGTCCTCCTCCAGGGTTCTCAAACTGAACTGAGGATCATACTCAGCTGGACAGTCTGCTGACATTCATACTACTGAATGCATCAGCCCTGGTTTCTAAAGTAGTAGGTCTAGGGTAGAACCAGATCATAGGTATTTCTCATACTTTCCAGAGGATACTGGCGTTGCTGGTCCAGGGGTCTCACTTTGAGAACCACATCTCTACCTCCAACCCTTCTTCCACATGGAGAGGTTAAAGTACACACAGAGTGGTAAAGTGAGTCACTCCAGAGTTGGCCGCTAATTAAAGGCGGCACTGAGGCTAGAAGCCATATCTCCTGCCCCAAAGTTTTTAGTTTTCACCATCCTGATACTGTGCATCGGTTAGACAACACTTGATGGTTGTTTCCATCTCTACTAGTTCATTTTTACTTCAATCTCTGTAACCACCTCACCAGATGTTAAGGGCAGGAATTGTCATTTTCTCTTAGAAATATAGGAACTGAGACTGAAAGGAGGTTCAGTGAGTTGCTTAAAGCCAAGAAGTTTCTCAATACAGATTCAGGTAGAGCTTCTGACACTGCTTATTGCAGTAATTAAAAACAGCCTCCTATGTGCCAGATATTGTTGTAAATACATTATGCATGTTAATTAAATTTTAAATTTTATTTACTTTTTTATATGTGTGAGTGCTTTGCCTACATATATGTAAGTACACCCATGTCATGCAGTGCCTGTGGAGGACAGAAGAGAGCGTCAGGTCCCCTGGAGCTGGAGTTACAGGTGGCTGTTAATCTACCATATAGGTACTGGGAACTGAACCCAGGTCCTCTGCAAGAGCAACCAGTACTCTTAACCACTGAGCCATCTCTCCAGCCCTCATATGAATTTATTTAATCTTCATAATTTTCTACATAAGTCCTATTATTATACTATCCATTTTACAGATGAGGAAATTGAAAGACAGAAGAGTGGAGTAATTCGCTCAAGGTTACAACACAAGCAGAAAAATCAAGATTTGAATCCAGAGAATGCAGCTTCCCCTGCCCCTACCCCGTTCCTCTTGAGCTACCATGTTGCAGAATATATAATTTATTTGGGATTAGGTAGGAGTGACAATTTTCAAAGGAGAGGCTGGGGCCCAGCTGGGCACTCACTTTGACAGCATACTCTTTGCCAGTCTGCAGACTCACAGCACCTTGGACTTTGGCATAGGCCCCTTCTCCCAGCAATTCAGAGGTTAGCTTGTACACATCTAGAGGGGAAATAAGTGAGAATCAGGTGGGTTATCTCATTGCAAGCAATGAAGGGAAGAGCTGCTGCCACTTTGCTTCCCTGGTGACTCTGGCCCTTAGTGACAAGGTCTCCCAGCTGTCTGTCAGCCAGAACTTGATTTTTGAAGTAAGCACCAGCAGATACCTTTTCCTCATTTTAGAGATGAGGTCAGAGGAAGGGTTTCAGTACTGCATCTATTTTCTGAGCATCTACTATGTCAGGCATTACAACAGGGACAAAGTGAGGCATAAAATCTAGTCCCTCCCCTCTAAGAGTCAAGTCCAGTGGGGAAGACAAAAACATACATAGCAGCCCCAGAGTAACCAGTAAAGGTTAGGAGTGGGGGGCTGGAGTAAGCAGTGGAAGAGAACAGGGCAACCCATTTGGGGAATCCAGGAATCCTCACAGAAGTGATATGATTTGAGTCAACAGCATTCATTCATTTACTCATCTGCTAAACACCTACTATGTGCCATGCTCTGTGCCAAGCATGGCTGATATGAAGGAGAATAACACGCCCGTCTATTTTATGTACACAAAATGGAGGCTACTGACAGTTTCTCAGAAATTTCGGAAAGTTACCTACAGGAATTAGAGATAAAAGTAGGATGAACACAATACCTTGAGAATCTAGGTAATGAGTCAGAGTGGACATAACAGAGTAGAAGTAGGCCTGGGTTAGAAGAATGTTTAGGAGACCAGCTCACAGCTCCGAGCCGCTCCCAAAGGAAGCTGTAGCTCCACCATAGCCCCTCCTGAGCTGACCTTGTCCTCCCTTGCTCTCTTCTTCAGCCTTTTCCTCTTGAGGCAACCTAGTGACCTTTTCACTCTTAGTCATGATATGTCTGTGGTTGTATGAACTATCCCTAAGTTAACAGAAAACTCTAATATATTCAATAAAGAAACAAAAGACTTACTGGTTTGTGAATTCTGACAAGACTCCAGGGACTTTTGTCTCCCCTACCCCCTACACCCATACCCAAGTCCCTGTCCCCATATATAAACACACTACTGTTTAAGAGTAAACAAGCAGGGGCTGGAAAGACGGGTCAGGGGAAAGAGCACTTGCTGCTCTTCTAGAGGACCTGACTTTAGCTTCTAGCACTCTGTCAGGCAGCTCATAGCCATCTGTAACTTCCACTCCAGAGGAGCTGATGGCTTCTACTCACACACATGGCATAGACATATACACATATACACATGAATAACAGTGAAAAAAAAATTAATTGTAGGCGGGTGAGGTGGCGCACACCTTTAATCCCAGCACTTGGGAGGCAGAGGCAGGTGGATCTCTGTGAGTTAGAGGCAGGTGGGTATCTTTGAGATCGAGGCTAGCCTGATCTACATAGTGAATTCCAGACTACCTGGGGCTACAGGGAGACCCTGTCTCAAAAAAAAAAAAAATCTTAAAAAAAAAGAAAACAAGCAAACCCCTGTACTAAGTACTTTCTTCACTTATTATGGTCTGATCTTGCAGCTGTCTGTATATGACATACTGCTGACTGATGCTTGTTGGTACTTAAATGGCATGCTTCCCTTCTAGTGTACACTTTGGTACTGACTCTTTACATATGTCAGAATCTTAGGCAGTTGGAGTACAATATTCCTGACATAAAGTGCTTGTTATCAGAACATTCTATAAAACAATCAATTTGCTGGTATGTATGCAAGGCAAGGAATAGGCCCACGAGGGGAAGCTACTTCAAGTCTCACAGTGAAAAATCACAAAAAGGGGACATGCTATTCATAAAGGGGTACTGATCCTTTGACTCCTTAGAAGAAACATTCAGTGATTCACATCTTCCCACCACATGCCCAGAAATAACACCACCAATACCCAGCCTAGTTCTTTGTCCCTGGGCTATCCAAAATGTCTGATAATGCAACATCATATCCCCTGAATACAATGCACTCTTTTCTTTTTTAGACAGGGTCTCCCTGTATCTTCAGCTGGCCTGGAACTCACTATGTAGACCAAGCTGGCCTCAATCTTACAGAGATCTGCTTGCCTTTGCTGGGAGTAAAGGTGTGGGCCACCACACCTAGCTACAATGCACTCTTTAAAAGGGAATCAAACACATGCAACACATGTAGCTGCAGACTGTGCGAGGCCAATTCTCCACTTAGAGAAGACTGCAGTCATTTGCAGTTGTGGACTTGGCATTTTCACTTCCTTTTATCTGGTTCTTCTGCCTCTCAGCCTTCTAGGAAGCGCTGGGAGAAGGGTCACATATGAAGAGGAGCTGGGACACATAAGGATTTCAGCTCTCACTCCATATACAGCATGCACAGAATGTCAGACCATTCAGAGGAGGTTAGTACATTGCCTGAGATTTTCCCATCCCTGCTCCCTCTTGGTTGCTCCTCCTTGTCCCTGTCTTTACAGTCACATGGATGACCTGGCTCTAAGATGAAGTGTGCTAGAATCTGGGGCTATGGGTATCTGGAATGCTCCCCCAGTCCTATGGAGTTCAGGTCCAGACTTAGGAGAGTATGAGACCAACCTTCAAATTTTCCTGGCAAGGAGCTGGTGGCCCGGGCCTTGCGCTTCTTCCTCCTCCTCTTGTCACTGTCCACCACGGGAAGGGGCTCACTGCTGCCCATCTCTGGGAGATAAGAAGGAATGTATAGGAAATTGCACTGTACTGATCAAGCAGTAAGTTTACCCAGAAGGGAAAAGAGAGAGACCCAGGAGCTTTATACTGACGTTTTCTAAATATCTGTGAGCACTATTGATTTGTTTTGACCCAGGAGGCAAAACTAAAGGCAAAACCATTATAGGAGATCATTAACTGTGGGAAGGAACTCAAACAGGCAGGCTAGATTAGAAGAGGAAAGCAGAAGCCTATATTTGCCAAGCTTATTAGCCCATGGATTTAAATCTGCCACCAGTCAAACCATAGTCTCCAAACAGAACAAGGAATTCACAAGTCCTGTGAATATCTTCCAGTCTCAGCACCAGAAAGGCAGGACCTCTAGGGAGAGGAGCTGGGCAAGAAAGGGGGTAAGAGCAGAACCCGTTGGTGAAATCAGAAGCTCAACAATATCTCCGTGGACATGCACAGGGGCTTCGAAAGGCCTTTCATAATGTCTGCCTCCTTGAAGGCAGCTAGAGGGCTGGGCTGGGGCTGAAGAGAGCCCCCCAATTCCTTCACTCCAGGAGCACAGACTAAGGATCGTCCTCTCTTCTCCTTGGCTCTCTCCTTGGAGGAGTGCAGGGAGACCCATAACCGATAAGTCTAAGCTAGGCTGCTGGATGAGGTCACTTATTGTAAAAATGTTATTATCTCTCCCTGGCAGGCACCTGGTTCCCACACTGGCAGACAAAGACATAGAACAGACTGGGCAGGAAAGGGTCAGGACAGAAAGAAGCAGCAGGAGACTGAGATGGTGGAAGAGAAAAGGAGGAATAATGACAGTTCTGTTTCTAGGACCCTCTAGTAGAGGCCTTTCCCTGTTAAGGATAAATTACTTATAGAACATGTCACACCCCAATCCAGAGTGGAACCTTAATACTCTGCCTGCAGTTAAAAATAATAAGATTTCTCTGAAGTCTCTGGGCCTAAATCCCCACCAGGGTGATTAAACCGCTACATCCTTCTAAAATAGTGGCACTCAAGAGCTGATGGGCAGATGATGTGAGAGACTTTTACACCACCTTCAATAAACACAGGATCTGAGGTTTAGGGATTTTTTCTTTTTTTCTCTGAGAAATTTTAAAGTGGAATCTGGCTCTTTGCTCACTGAGGGGGAAATGCCCACTCCCTTCTCTAAAGATCTGCCAGAAGATTGCTTAGTGCTAATGCCTGTCTAGATGCTGTTCTTAGAGGCCAGCACTCAGCAGCCGTTAGCACAAAACATGCAGAATGGTGCTTTCAATACCAAAATCCAAAAGCACGGTGAAGCAGCCAAGTGTCTGACAGCTTGTCTTACTTAGATGCACTCCTCCTTCTATTTTAGAGACCTGATAACAGCAGATTTTCAGTTTTAGAATAGAGAGCAAATAAATGCATGGACGAAAAGAATCCAGAGATCTCAAAATATTACTCCAGGCAACAGCTTCAAGCACAAGTTCCATCTGGGGACAGCAATGCCCTATGAACTCGAAGAATTAAATACTGGTACTAGAATACAGACCCTCACCAAGGTAAATTATGAGGGGGAAAAAAGCTGCCCAAATGTATTTATAAAACATTATGAGAAATTCTACAGAAATAAAGCATGAGGTCATTTATCTTCAAGGGCTGGGGATGTGGGTATGCAAGGGGACAGGACAGGACAGGACCACTGTTCCTCTGGCGTGCACTCACATGTCAACCCATGCCCCACCTATCTTCTTACCAGTGCTGCAAGCCCAGTGTGGAGTGGACAGATTCTGGTTTCAGCTCCTTCACCTCCCCTGACCACACTCCAACAGGGAGCCTGCAGACAAGCCTCATAGCCAACAGGCAGGCAGTATGGAGAGCAGCAGGAGAGCTGGCAGCATTGTGACTCACAGGGGACTCTCAGACATACTTACAGCTCTAGTTAGAAAACCCTGTTAGCGGCAATTTATACTTGCTCTTTACCACAGCAGGGCTGCAGAGCCTCCTGTGGAAGCAGCATACCTCTGGGCAGTGCCGTACATTCAATATTAGATTTTATGGCTTCACACACAAAGACAGAGTACCTGGTCTATTCTGCATGGATCTCAGTGGAAGAGGGTACGCCAGAAGGGACAAATGGTTAAGATTTCCTTGCAAACAGAACTTGAGGGAGAGTTGTTTTTGAAACTAGGAAGGAAAAATGTAAGAAAACAGTGAACTGAAAGAAACATGTTTAACTTCCCTGTTTTCATGGTGGGGGTCAGTTTGAGAGGTATCATAATCTTATCAAGGGGGTGTTGAGGTGGGTCACACTCTAGTTTTGTCACAGAGATACACATATTTAATTTAGTATGTCCAGTCACTAGACAAGCACATTGTCAGGGAAGCCTTACAACCAAGCTGTACCTGACCTGCCCAATTTCCCTAGTGTAGAAATTCTTCCTGGCCAGCAAAACCAGCTCAAAAGTCCTTGCCCCCTGCAGCTTCCCAATAACTCCTGGTGAGTTACAGTATGTTCAATCACTCTAGAAATCAGGCATGAGGCAAACAGTGGGTATTACTGTGCAGAACCAGTGGTTGGTGTTCCAGCCTCTGTTCCCAAGTGCCTGAGATAATCTCTGTTAGGGCACTGATTTTCTTTGGCCTCGAGACTCCCTGTGTTCCTAAAGGATAAGACCGTCCCCTATGTACCTCTCTCTGTCTCTTTTATAAGTCACAGCTCAGTGTCACATGTATACCATCCATCAGAAATTACACTGAAATGGAAATGACATGAAATGACATATAGTACATGTCTGTCATGCCCAGTGCACACTCTGAAGTGTGGGTATACTTGTACCCTACAGTTGAGACAGAGAAAGACTGCTTTGGTCTATGAATCCTATCAAGTCTCTATCACCTTCCCTCTCCAAAAGATCCCATGACACATAGGTTAGCCAGAAGCCTAGTCCTCATTATTGGTCTGGACAATGTGGAGAGGAAGTAAGCATTTCTTTTCAGTTTCTAGACAGGTCTGTCTGGAGGCTGCCTCCAGTCCTCACTCTCACTTCAGCTTGGCTGGGGTCCACGTTCATGTATTCTAGTGGAAGTGCACCTGGAATGAGAGAGGAATCTCCCACACTTGCAGACAGGGGAGACACATGGGTGTGGCATCAAGAACAAGGTAAAAGTCCTGGTTCATGCCGGGCATGGTGGCGTACGCCTTTAAATCCAGCACTCCAGAGGCAGAGGCAGGCGGATCTCTGTGAGTTCAAGGCCAGCCTGGTCTACATAGTGAGTTCCAGAACAGCTGGGGCTACAGGGAGACCCTGTCTCAAAAAGAGACCAAAAAAAATTTTTTTTATTTAAATTTTATGTGTACAAGTGTTTTGTCTGCATGTATGTAAGTATACCATGTGTGTGCAATGCCTGAGGAGGCCAGAAGGGGCATTGGAAATCCCAAAGAGAGAGAGAGAGAGAGAGAACCAATTCATTCATGGGACCATAATAGTGAATTTACTGGGCACCTACTGATCCGCCAGGGCAGGACACTGGGAATTTAAGAGAAGAGTCTGTCCTTGTGGCACCACAATCTCCCGTTGTCACAGGAAAGTACCAGGTGCTATGATAGAGCAGAAGAGGGCATATAATATGGTAGATAAACCAGTTAAGCCAGCAATCGAAGGATGAGTGGCAACCATCAGGATAGAACCTGGAGGAGCATCCCATACTGCAGGAAAGTCAGCATAGCCAGTCAGGGCCATTGCCCATCATTCAAGTTGTCTGGAGCATGCAGTATGAGGGAGGAATGATGACAGTTCATAAACAGTCTTAGTTAGCATCATCAATAATAATCAGTGCTTCCATTCTGAGGCATATGGTTATCTTGTTTTCTCTGTTAAAATAGGAATGCATGTTTTAATTTTGTTGTGAAAACTGTTTGCCAACAAGTATTGATTGCATTGGAAGTGTAGCAGGAGTTAAGGATGTAGATCCAAGACCCAACCTGGCACCTTCACTCACAAAGCAAGCGGGAGAGGAGGCCAAGAGTCCTGGGGAGATGGGTATAGGGGATAACCCACAAAAATAACAGATACCGGCCACTGTTCTACCCAGCAAGTAACCTCAAGACCTACTTTCCAAATAAACTGTAATTTCTCCATAAAGCCTAATGACCCACCTGCACTGTCCCCTAAGCCACCAGATGTGTACTCCATTCTTCTGATAGAGTCTATATAGAGCTCCACTGTCAAAGCTGGTGTATGATACCAAAGGGTCATCTGGTTAATTCAGCTCCATGCACAATTCCCCTGCGCCAACTTTGGAGCTCTTTTAAGCTCCTAATCTCTCTGAATACTTCCTTCAGTGACAAGGGCTTTCCAGAGATGAAGGAGTATTGAGAGCAGGCTGAAGGGCATAACCACAAACTCAGCTGCTTCCTCAGGGTCAGCTGAGGGCCCTAAACATGGACAATGAAAGGAAACAGAGGGGCTGGGAGTGGCTCAGTAAGAACACTAATCTACCATGCACAAGGCCCTGGGTCCCATCCTCACCACCAACAAAACCATCAACAAAAACAAAAGAAACAAAAAAAGGAAACTGAGAAACCAAAGGAAGTCAACCACACTTAAGGAAGGGACCAAGGCTAAGCCATGTGTCCCAGATTAAGCCATGTGAGACAGAGGAAGGGGGAATACAAGAGGCGGGGGTTACCTATGCTTCCGCAGCAGTAGAAGTTACTGTGCATGCTACCACTAGTACTTGCAATGCACACTTTCACGTGGTCCTCATGTGTCAGGCAATGTCTGAAGCCCTGTAGTGTAGATACTACACTCTACAGACTCATTCAATCTTCACGATGTTATGAGGTAAGCATAATTACTCCCCATATTTTGCAAATGAGGAAACTGGGATACAAATAGATAAAAGTGATATGCTCAGGCTGGAGAGATGGCTCAGCAGTTAACAACACTGACTGTTCTTGCAGAAGACCGGGGTTTGAATCCCAGCACGCACATGGCGACTAACAACTATCCATAATTCCAGTTCCAGGGGATCCGACAGCCTCTTCTGTTCTCCACGGGCATTGCATGACATAGGTGCACTTACATACATGCAGGCAGTACACGCATACACATAAAATAAAAAATAATAAATAAAATATATTTTTTTAAAAGTGATATACTTACCATCACATAGGAAGTAAGTGGTAAAGCTGGAAATTAAGTCTAAGATCTGGTTCAGAATTTAAGCACCTAATCTGTCATGACACTGTTCTCAAACATTAATGCTGGAAGGTGAGAGGCGGTAGCTGGTGGCAAGGCACTAATGAGGATGCTATTGTTTATAAACCTTGGTAGAGAGCTTCCTTACTGATGCACTGCAAGACACTGACCTCCAGTCCCTTGGCTCACTATTTTATACAAGTGTTTCTCCTGTCTCAAAAAGGTTGGGCAGTTTTCTTCTAGCTTACATAAACACAAAGGAGTTATAACCACATTGTTACTTCAATATTAAGTTTAATTTTTCAGAGGTCTCTTCTTGCTCTGAAACAGCTTTGTATTTGTGCTTTGTCATTTTATTGAAGATGTACTATGAAGCAAAGTCTAACCACATTATTCAGGGCAGCCTGAGATGAAGTATAAGGAGACAATTCTCTGCGGTCCGACCTGAGAGTGGGTGGATCTGTTTTCTGATTATATTACTACATGCAGGGCACAAGGAAAGGGCACCTTCATTGCAGAAGCTGTTCAAATTTAACAGACAATAGCTGTCAGGAGCCATGTACAATATCAGCTTCATCAAAGGACAGGCCACTTGTCCATAGGGTTGAAGGGTTTTTTCCCCCAGAACTCCTTTATGTAAGAAGGCTGGGTAGCCTGATAGGGACCATGCAGTCTCAATTCAGATGCAGTGAAACTGGCAGGAAGGCCTGCTCAAGGTCATCAGAGTGATACTTTGTAGGCTTTAAAGAGGATTGGGATGGTCAGATGCCTAGAGGTGAAACATGCAGAGTCACCTTCTCCCTCTGCTGTGTTGGGATCACAAGAAGCTTTCAGAGTCACGCTGCATGTCCTGGTAGAAGGAACGGCATCAGAAGGGCATGGAAGCCAGAAGAGCAAAACTCGTGGGGAGTAGAATGTAGAAGCCGACAAAGGCAGGCTAAGCCAACCTCTAAATTTGTTTGTATAGGCCATGATGCTGGATGTAGTGGCTGATGCCTTTAATCCCAGCATTCAGGAGGCAGAGGCAGGCAGATCTGTGTGAGTCTGAGGCTAGCCTAGTCTACAAAGTGAGACGCCCCCCCCAAGACCCCCAAACCAAAACAACCTGAAATCAAAAAATAGCCACAAGGTCCTCCAACACTGGTCTCATCTTCTTTCCACCCTCAATGACCAGCAGTCATTCTGCCACAGAAAAATGAAAATAGTGGCTTGTTTGGCTTACAATTTAAACAGTGCACAGGGACCACTACCGTGCTAGTAGACAACAGAAGTACCTTATGAGTGCTTCAGATCTATTACACAGACCTTAGAAGTATGTCCTCAGTTGAGATTCAGTAACATTAACATTTTTTTTGATCCTTCAAGGCCATTCTTAAGTGAAAATGGCAGCTGAGTATGACAGTAAAGAACACAATGGCTTCAAACACAGCTACTGCTGCTGCCTTGACTTGCGCTAAGATACCAGCAGCTTATTCACTCTCACCCTGCAACAACAAATATGACCTGATTACTACTGTGAAAAGTTTTCATCTTACAGATCCCCTGGAAAAATTTCTGTGTGACACACTTGTGACCCCCTGTTCTAGGCAATGGGGAGGGATATGGGAGCACTGTGGCCGGCCATCAAGTTGACTGTGATATGTAGAGCAAACAGAAGCTGCTGAGAGACCAGGGGTTGAGTGAGGCTGCCACAGGCCAGAGGAAGGCAAGGAAGGCCTATACCTGAGGCAAGGGCAGCAGAGGAAGGCATTTATAGAGCAAGGGAGGAAGCCAGAGGCAGAACTGGTCCTGCTAAACAAATGGAGATGGTACAGGACTCTGTTTTCACCATCCTTGAAAGAGGGGACAGTGTTTGATTCCTCTCTGACCTGATGGCTTAGCGCAGAGCCAGGCATACGGTGGGGCCTCAATGTAGGTTTATGAATATATGCTTTTTAACCAAAGGTGACCATAAGAAGAATAATGCCATTAGAGAAGGGAAGAACTCATGACAGGGAACAGCTCTGTGGGTAGAGCAAATGAAGATAGAGGTACCACCAGAAATTTCAAGTGAAGACAGATGACACACAGCAGCTGAGGACCATGAACAAGTATGGGTCAAGCTAAAACCACCTAACTCAACTCTCATGGGACCTGGGCCTACAGTGAGGCTTGACTGGTACCTAGCAGGCATGATGAAACCCCAGGCTAGAGTAGAATACAGAACAGTCCACATTTCTCTCTGGGCTAGTTGTGAATTAAAACATGTAATTTTTAACATTTCCTTGGGAAGAAGGAGAATGAATGGACATAAGAATTTCACTTCTGTGTTTTTTTTTTGTTTTTTTTTTTTGTCTTTTTGAGACAGGGTCTCTGCAGCCTCAGCTGTCCTGGAGCTCACTATGGAGACCAGGCTGGCCTTGAACTTACAGAGATCCGCCTGCCTCTGCCTCCAGAATGCTGGGATTAAAGGCGTGCACCTCCACGCCCAGTTTATTTTTGTGTGGTGACTTTAATAGTTAAAAGCAAATAAACATGTTTTATTTACTGTTCCATTTCCTTCTGCCTGTTTGCTATTTTATTCCAGAAGAAATATGTTCTTCTTTACTAAGTAACTGTCTCAGGATGTTACTAGGAATTGAGATGGCTAAGCCAGGTACACAAGCAAATACTGAAAACCACCAGCTGCTAGATAACTTTGAGCCCACCCCTTTCTCTGGAAATATGAGATAAGTTCAATTCAAAGTAATCTAAAAAGATAAGTGGGGGCCAGTGAGATGGGTAAGGGTGCCTGCCTCCAAGAGCAAAAACCTAAGTTTGATCTCTCAGACCCACATGGTGGAAGGAGAGAACTGACTCCCACAAGTTATTTTCTAACTTCCATATTCACCATGGTATGTGTGTCCTACCGTCCCAAGAAATAAATAAAAATGCAATAAAATTTGTGACAACCCCCCTCAAAACAACAACTCATAAACAACCATACATCCGATCTTACCTACAGGGTTACTCAACTCTGAGCAGTGATGCCGGTGTCCCAAAGTTGGTGTCTTCCAGCCACAGGGAGTGATCCACTGGTCTCCGCCCAGCCGATTTCCTTCAGCTCACCACCTGCCTCTGCTTCATCTTTATCTGGCATGGAAATTTTCAAGAAGCAGAAGGAGAAAAGGTGTGAAAATGCTGGCTTCTCCAAAAGAACCAGAGGAGGAGAATCAATCCAAGTGTCCCCAGCCCTGTGAGTTACATTTGGAAACAGATGCTCACAGTAGCCATAGACATCCCAAGGTTTTGAAATCTGACAGATGAGTATCTGGAAATTCTGATGCCAAGCACTGAAGACTTATCAGGGGTCCAAATAAAAATTTTTAGATTCTGCTCTCATTGAGAATTCTAGACCTCAAAAGCTGTAACTGGCCGGGATGACTGAGATGGACTCCTCTCTTGACTGAGTCTCGCATAGAAGATAAAAGCTGACACTTCTCTGCTGCCTGCTTCTGCAGGATGAGTAAGCTCTGGCTCTGTCACCTAGGGGCCAGGCCCAAGTCTCACAGGCAAGAGGCAAGAGTGCCAGAAAGATAAAGCAGATCCGAGAGCAGCAGGTGGCACGAATGGAAACAGTTCTGTGCCAAAACCATCATCACTCCTAGTTCCCAATGTGCTGACTGCATTTTCTGGAGGCCCAGTGCTATTTTTAACCCGGTGGCTTTAGTTACCAGTGTCAAAGTTGCTCTGTTAACTTTTTCTCTATGAAATAAACTTGCACTTCCTCTTTTCCCAGAGAAAAAGCCCTGAAAATGTACTTAAGTCTGAAGTCTTAGATTTTGTGCCAAAATTTCTCAGAAGGTTTCTAACTGGAAACTGTGTGTGTTTCAACATTACTTCAATTCTTAAGTTAGACATGTCCTCAACTCCTCCCATGGCATCCTTCCTCTTCTTCTTTATCAGATTACATCATCCTGCCAGTCACCCAGTCACAGAACCATTAAATCACTTCTCCCTCATCTCTGTAAGTTCCAAACGCTCAAGCTGTCAGGCTTTCCCTTTGTCTTGTATATAGCTCCTTTTCTTTTTCAGAACTATTCATCTTTCAAGGCCCACAGCAAATTATCAAGAGTATCTTGCAAACTCCAGAAGCAGTCTTGACTTTTCTATTTCATCCAGCATTTCATCTAGCCCACAGCATTCCATTACAACACAGAGCAGGCTACACACTGTGGTCCTCCCACCAGGCCATAAATTCCTCAAAGGCATCTTTTCAACTTAGATATTTCTAGCATCCAACATAATATCTGACACAAAAGGGGATGCAGTGAATCTGAATGAATTAAATTACTTTATCTACAAAGTATCTCTTTATTGCTTATTAGAGGCTTTAGCACATTGGACAGTCCTGTCTATTGTGCTTTATTTCCAAAGGAATCTCTCAGGCTCAATAAAACTGTTTCTAGAGCCCAAGGAAGCCTGGCTTATACTCTTTCCTGTTATTATCACTGTACTTTTAGGGACAATCCTGAACATGCTGAACTTTAACTTATTGCCTTTAGTGTCATCATAGGTTTAAGTCCCTTGTTGCTTATTCTAAGGACTAGCAGTTATGTTATTTTTTTGTAAAGGGCGAGAGAATAAATAATTTACACTTTGTGTTTCACATGGTCATTGCTTCATCTGCATTTGGCTTTTGCAGGGGGTACAGGCATAGATTGCATGTAAATGAATGATTATGGCTATTTGTCAACAAAACTTTAATTATGGATACTGCAATCTGAATTTCATATCTCCCAAAATGTTCATCTTCTCTTGATTCCCTCCTCTAATCATTAAAACTGTAAAAAGCACCTTTAGCTTGCAGTTTCTACAAATAGGCCAACAAAAGGCCTATTGTCAAAAACAAAAACAAGATTCAGAATTCCATTATAAACCTTATATTTAACCCAGTCATTTGGAGTCACTTTAGGGCTGAAGAAGTAGTAAGAAAGTTTGTGGCCTTTCAAATGTTAGGTCCTAGATTCATAATCTGGACCTACCATCCAGCAGCAAGGCAGTGCTGGACACATTCCTTAACCTCTCTTCCCTGTTAGAAGTAGGGACAATATCACCTGCTGGGAGAATTAGATGAGATTTAGATAGAATTAGATGAGAATTAGATAAATCAAGTTCATGACATGCAGGAGACACTCAATAACCCCTATTATCATACTTGTGAGACAGCTTCCTCAGGTCAACTATGGCTCTGGAAAGCCACCTGAACATTCTGGAAGCCACATCTGGGCAGCAAGAGAGAACATGGCATCAGCAAAGCCCAAAGGCAGAGAGGGGGGTTGACTGTTTTCAGATTCATACATAGGAATCTATAAGAGTGATTCTTCTGTGACCATCCTAATTCCTTGGGATGGCTTTCCCTCTCCACCAAGAATTTCAGACTCACATAATACATAAACCTTCTTAGAGTTCCTCACCAAATACCCAGATAAGCCCTAGAACTTTTACCTCATTACTGTACCCCCTTCCTGCTTTAGGATTGGGGTGGGAAGGTGACCATGACCAGACCAAAACACAACTGCATCTAGATCACAGAGGACGAGTCTGGCTGGATACCCAGCTCTCTCCCATCTTCAGCACTGGGAATGAAATTTCTCTGGAGCTCAAAAACTAGGCTTGCTGTAAGAGAGCAAACACCTCCAATTATACAAACAAGGGACCCATCACATGACTTGGCTTTCAAGACAGAGAACATCTGCAGGGCACAGAAAAGACTAAAGTTTATTCTATTTCCACCCTTGATCCCAAAAGCCAGACCTGAGCCCGTCATTTCTTGGCTTCAAAATCTCTCACAGGTGTTACTGCTTCCGTTGGGGTGACTCAAGCCCCCTAGCACTGCCTAGACCAGTTCTTCTGTACTATGCTTGGCCCTCTCCTCCAGAAATCTAGCTGAAGGGGACAAAGGGGCTGCATCTACATGATTGCCCTAAGCCATTTCCAGCTTCCCATGCTTGTACACACCTCAGACAGAGTACCTGTGATGTCCTATCCCCTTAGACTGAGCTAAGATAGAGGCTAACCTGACTCAGCTCTGAGTCCCCTCCACCTAGCACAGAGCAGTCACTTAATGAGTCAATGAAACTTCCAAGGTATTTGCCCTTAAACTGTTTAGCTGGACTCTTATTAGCACATTGAGCACAGTCTGGGTCACTGCCAGGAAAAGCAGCATAACCAATGTGATCCAAGTGATAGAAAATAGGTTTTGCAGATGAAGTAAAAGCAGCCAGGCAGTGTAGCCCAGAGAAGAGGAGGCCTAACTGGATTCTGGCTCTAAGTACAGAAAAGGCTCTCGTGAGAAAATCTTGATCCCATCCTCCCTTTATAATCAGAAGGAACTTTTCCATATTCATGGAAAACGGAACAATAAGAACTCACTTAAGTTCAGGCCAAAGGGATTTATGCTGGAGAGAAAGAAGAACCAAATTAGCTATCACTTTTCCAGAGACACTGCACTGTTGTTCTTTCCGCAACTGAACTGGAAGGGTCTTACATAGTGTTTTGCTGAAGACTGTGCAAAAGGAAATGAAGTCCTGGTCCTGCTTTCTGTAGAGAGGTGAGAAGGTGAACATGGACTAGGTGAGATTTCTCTATCGTCACTGCCTTTTCTTTCTTTCTTTCTTTCTTTCTTTCTTTCTTTCTTTTCTCTCTCTCTTTCTCTCTCTCTCTTTCTTTTTGGTCTTTTTGAGACAGGGTCTCTCTATAGCCCCAGCTGGCCTGGATTCACTATGCAGACCAGGCTGGCCTCAAACTCACAGAGATCCACCTGCCTCTGCCTCCTGAGTGCTGAGACTAAAGGCATGCACTACCATGCCTGGTAAGTCACTGCCTTTTTTTTTTTTTTTTTTGTCACTGCCTTTTTATAGGCCCTTTCCTTGTAGGTACTTTTTGTGGTGTCATGATTTACAACCATGTGATAGAATAATCTAGCACTTCTAAGGTATTTCTCAATTTCCTGATGGGGCAAGGTAAAGAGAAGGTAACAATGTTAAAGCAAGACAGTAGGGAGAATGGCCCTAAAAAATACACTTTCTATAAAATCAGCACCAAACTGTGCATTAATGTAATGCTAATATTGTTATCGATATAGCTAACATTCACTGAACATTTGCTATCTGTCAGGCAATGTGCTGCTTAATGTCATCTTCTTAAAATTTTATTTTTATTTTTGTGTATGAGTGTTACGCCTGCATGTATGTAAGTGCACCTGTGTACTACAGTGTTCACAGAGGTCAGAAGAGGGCATCAGATCCCTTGGAGCTGGAGTTACAGACAGTTGTGGGTGCTGGGATTCAAACAAAGGTCTTCTGCAAGAACAGTCAGTGCTCTTAACTGCTGAGCCATCTCTCCAGCCCCCACCTTACTTCTTATAACACCCCTATAGGCAGATAATACCTGTATCCTCATTAGGAAATTTAAGACTAGGCAAAGTTAAATCACTCGTCTACATCACACAGCTAGCCAGTGTCAGGCAGGACCCAAACCTAGGCAGTCCTACTTAAAGTTTGTTCCCTACCGACTGCTTACCCACAGGAAGGAAAGCCTAGAATTTAAACCCTTGTCTCTCTAAATCCAGGTTCACTTCTTTAGAACAAAGTAACACATGGCATCACCAAGAGACAAGACCTCCCAAGTGAGCCCAAACTCCCTATTCTAGGGAAGGAGGCTAAAGCAGAAGACCTGTACATGATGAGCACACCAGGACTAAATGCCAGGTTCCAGCTCTGTCCTCTGTTACAGATTCTTATTGAATGTGACAGTTAAAAAAAAAAAGAAACAACTGGGACACTGCCAATTATACTTCAGGACCTATGCCTGAGTGAGTACCCACAGCCGTTGTAAACTCATTCTTAAGATCCTATGATCTAAGGATGGCGATGCACTGATTGACAGCACTTGGTAGCTTTCATGGGCTCACATACTATCCCCTCGTGAAGACTAAGATCAGGCAGCTCAGGTGACTGGTTCACAGTTTAAGCCTTCTCACTGATGTCCTTAGTCTAGACACTGCTTTGTTCTAGTAAGCCTCTGTCCCATAGCCATAGTCAACAGAGCCCTTAGTCATGCACCCAGAGCTCTGCTGTATAATGGAAAGAACACAGGCCTTTGAACTCATCCCTCCTATGGCTGTCTGAACCATGCTGTCTGCTTACTTGCTACCTGACCCGAGGGAAGCCACTTTAATCTTTCTGAGATCTGGTTTCTTAGTTTTTAAATTGGGGATAAATATCCTTCTACTGCAGAGGTTGTGAGGATTAAATAAATTATAGTGTGTAAAGTATGTGGCACATTGCAAGCCACAAAGCAGATACTTGATGAATGTTAGTGTTCTTCTCTCCCCACAATCCACTTCACCACATCCCCTTCTTTCCCAGTATGCCTGTGCCACATATAGGAGTGTGTCCCTTCCCACGCATTTTTTCTTCAGACCATGGCTCCAGCTGCTCTTTCTCCCAGGAATGAACTCCCTCTGTGTTCTAGACTAAATTTTCCACTTCCAGGAATGTTCTAGTCAGGGATTGACTTCTCTTTCTCCCAAACTCCTACTTCATTTACATTCCTTGCTACATTTACCAAAGTCAGTCTAATTTCAGTTATATACTTACCTATCTTCCTAACAATACATGAGAGAGAAGGCCTGGCAAAGACAATTACTGACTGGAGAACAGAAAATATGTTGTGGTCCTTGTGTGTATTTCTCAATAATAGAGGCTTGTTCATAGCAAGAGTTCCTTACATGTTGTTGAATCGAATCTTTCCACCTTACACTGGGAATCTTTATAGAAAGATCTAAAACTGAGTTTCCCCTAAATAATGCTTAATAGTAAACAGGCAATTTTTGTGGTGCTGGAGCTTAAACCCAGAGTCTTGTGCATGCTAGGGATCTGCCATTGAGCAGAGGTCAGAAGAGGGTAGCCCAAAAGGCAATTTTGGAAATATATTCAGAGTCTGAAACTAAGATCTACTAGTCCTCAGGTAGACTTGCTTCATTTTCTTTGTCCATCATCGGATACACCCTGGACTCTTATTGGGACCTCTCTACAGCATGCAGGGAGACACTGCTGAGAGGACCGCTCTCACTCAGAGCAAGAAGGCTCTGGGATCAAGCTCACTGGAGAACTGTTCTACTTCATGGAATATATGACTACATTAAAATCATGCTACAAGGGCTGAAGAGATGGCTCAGCAGTTAAGAGCACTGGCTGTTCTTGCAGAAGGCCTGGGTTCAAATCCCAGCACCCGCATGGCAGCTAGTAACTGTTCCTAACTCCAGTTCAAGGGGATCCAGTGACCTCTTCTGTCTTCCACAGACACTGCACAACACAGGTGCACTTATATACATACAGGCAAGACACACATACACATAAAATAATAAAACAAAATATAAAATCATGCTACAAATCTAGAACTGTAGGATCAGAAAACAATGTGAATGATTCCTATTCGGCCTTGGTTTCTGAGTCTATAAAATAGTTTAAAGTAGTTAAAACAGTGTCTAGCCCATAGTAAGCACCCAATAAACGCTAGCTATATCAACCATGTAGAGCTACTTGGGAGGCTAAGGCAGGATACTCACTTGAGCTTAGTAATTAGAAGCCAGCCTGGGCAACCCAGATTCCATTGCAAAGAATTAAAATTAATTAAAATTATTTTTTAAAATCTAGTAGAGTGAACTGGGGAAAAAAAATACATTGCCTAGGCATTTCAATTCCAGAACTCTCTCTATCCCTAACTGATTCCTTGTACAATCCCAGTCAAGGGCTTTCTTCACTGGGCTTTTCCCCTTCTGTAAAATGAAGGTAGTATAACCCCATAGTTCCCAAGTCCCTTCTGCTTTCAACAATGTATATTTTTCTATGATCAACAAAAAACGTTCTGTTCCATATACTGGAGCTGTTGGCAAGGAAAAATGTGAATTTGTAAGCTGCTGGTCCCCAAATGGAAAGGACTACTGTTTACCAAGGCCAAGGGCAGAGCAACTGATTAGTCAGCCACCTGTGAGCTTTCCCCTGCATGAACTATATCATGTACTATACAGCTCCCTAAACAATGGGCAACTTCTCTTCCAACAAAACTCCCAACAAAGGCAAAACCAGGGCCTGAAAACAATAGCACCAATGTAGAATCTTGATTCATAAAGAATTCTTGTACGTTTGTGCTTCTGATGCCTATAACTAGGGCATCACTCATCTAAACTAGGGCCCTCCTTAGCCACAAAGGAAAACACAGTCTCCTTGTAATTCTGACAGCTTATAAAACAAGGACCAAAGCAAGTAAGTAGAGTCACTGACTCATTTAATCATAAGCATTGCAGAGACCTACTATGTGCCAGGCCTGTGCCATGAAGAGATGGAATGAAACATACTTGGCTCCTTGTCATTAACTGTAGTCAGAGTACATGTCGGGTGATGTACCCCAAGGCAGGTTGTGCTAAGAGTTCTCTTGGAAGTTCAGTCTTGCTACAGAAGCCTGGATGAGAGTATCTAATCCAGCAGGAGGATGAGAAGCTTCTACAGGAAGGTCGTGAAACATAGGCCTCGAAAGGTGAGAAGGAGGAAGAGATGCAAGCAAAGACAAGCAGGAACATTCTAGAGGAACAAGGTGCAGGTTTGGAAAAGCAAAGGAAACAGGAAAGGAGAGAGGTTTGAGAAGGTTATGGAGGGATTTGTTTGAGTTGGAACAGTCCAAACTCAATACAGCAGGTAGTGAAGTCCACAAAGCTTCTGAGCAGATACACAACATGATCAGAACAGTGTCTCTGGAAGATATGTGGGCACCATATGGATGAATTATCACAGACCACATACCAGGAGACCAGGCTCTTCCTACTTAAGCATGTGCTGCAATCTATCAGCCTGTTCTTGGAGCTTCTCTCCTTCATGGTTTGGCTGCATGCAACTTGTTGCCAGGTCCTCTGGTTACCAAAATCTGCTAAAGAACTAGAGCAGCAAGACTCCCAGACACAGTCAAAGCCCAGCTAGCCCTCGATTACAAAAAGAGAAAAGCTGAGGTGGGAGCAGATGGGGAGAAGGGGCATCTAAGTCCCCAGCCAGCTCAGCTCCATATACAAACCTGACCTTGAGTTTATTCTCCATGTCATTCCCAGCCTAGGCCCCTTTAGAGGGCTTGAGGCTACAGACAGTGGGCTAAAGCCCTGTGCATTGATGGCTGGGGATCCAGTAAGACACTATATATCAACTGCTGGCCTGGTGCTTACACTATTTAGTTCTCTCTTCCTACTTTGCGGTTGGTTCCATGTGTAAATCTCACTAGGCTTCAGGGCTCAGGTTATATCAACTTTCCCCCCAGGGCCTCCCTAAAGTATTCCAGATCAAAACACCCTATTCCTAGAAATCACAGCAATCATGTATTCAGTACCCATTACATGTAGGTACATATAAATCAATCCTTTTTAACCTTCACAATGACACCATTATACCCATTTTATAAAGAAACAAGCTCTGACAGGGAAAATGAGTTCTAGGACACACAGCTAGGAGATGGGAGAGGATGGCTGACCCCAAAGTCAAGCACCTCCACACTCATTCCTGTCCTCACAGTGGCCTCTGATGTTCCATACACAAAGTCCTACAGGCAGCCTGGAAGCTAAGCCTAGAGGCTGCACTAGACAGGACATCCACCTACACGTAGCAGGAGCATTTAAACACAATATTGCAATATAAATGAAAACTGCTAATTTAAAATAACGGAGGACACTCGTTTTATAAAGTACTCATGCCACTGGACTGTCTGAGCCTTAAATCCTGTCATAGCTTTGAGCTGATCCTGGTTAGGACCTAGGCTCAAACCCGTACAGGCTGAGCTCGACCTCCGACCCCCACGGGTCCAGACCTGTCACCACCCAAGGCCTGACTCTAGGGCACAGGCTGCAGCGGGAACTGCACACCGTTGCTCTGGGGTCCTGGCACAGGCGGAGCCCTGAGGACAGTCCTAAAAGAATGTCCCCTTCGGCAGCCCCTCCACAGCAAAATCCGGTCGTGACCTCGAGCCTCTCGGGAGCCCGGACTGCCCCCTCAGGGTGCACCGCCTCACTCCACCCGGCCCGTGTAGCTCCGAGGACTCGGCTCTCTCACGTTTACCTTGGCTGACCACCGCGGACCGGCCGCGCGCACCCCCACCTCCAGCTCTCCGCCGAGAACGCGGAAGAGGCGGTGCTAGGTTCTGGGGGGAGGGCCCGGGCAGAGACGGGGCGTACGGGGCGGAGTCGCGCCTGCGTCCTGAGGGCCACGTGTGGTGGGCGGGGCGACCCGAGGAAGTTGCGCGGGCGTAGTGGGAGGGGGCGGCCGGTGGAGGCCGGTAGGTGGGGCGTAGCGCTTTTCCTCGCTTTGCCAGTGAACTTTCTCCGGAAGCCAGTGGAGCTCCGGGACTGACGGAGATTTGCAGGTGTAAAAATTTACTGAAACCTTCTGCGAGCCAGGACGGGGTTTGTAGATGCCTCTCAGAGATGAATAAATACAGCTAGCCTTTTCCAAAACTGAGGGCAGTTCTGTTAAAATGTCTTCCTTTCGTGGGGGGGGGGGGGGCTGGAGAGAATGCTCAGCGGTGTTAAGAGCACTAATTGCTCTTGTAGAGGACCCGGGTTCGATTCCCAGCACCCACATGGCGGCTACCAACCGTCCTTAACTCCAGTTCCAGGGGAATCCAAAGCCCTCTTCTGACCTCCGTCTGCGGCATTGCCCGACACGGGTGCACGCACATACGTGGAGGTAATACACTCGTATACCTAAAATAATAAAATGGTTTTTAAAAATTATTTAGTTTTTGGGCGGGGCGTGGTGGCGCATGCCTTTAATGCCAGGACTCGGGAGGCAGAGGCAGGCGGATCTCTGTGAGTTCAAGGCCAGC